ACTGCTGGGCCCGGGTTCCGGGGCCGCCCCAGCAGGAGGCCTCGATCGCGGACGTCCCAAAGAAAGACCCTCCGGCACAGGCAAGTCGGTGCGCACCAGACACCCGGCAAGGCCTGACACCTCACTCATCGCCGTTGTTGTGCGACGCGGATGTTCTAAAATATGGGAGGCCAGTATCTGCGCCTTGTCGCTCGATAACGCAGTGGCGTAAGTTGGCTCGGCGGGTTGTCGCGGCCGCTACAGGTTCGTCCACTGTACCGGGGTCGATCCAAGGGGTGGACGTGCGTATTTTGGTGGATTCCGGGGCGTCCGCGACCATTATTTCGGATGTTATATTTCATCTTTTGAACATCCCACCGGGGGCCGTGAGGCCGGCTTACGCTTCCTGCATCGCTGCGAACGGGGGTAGTATGGGCATCGTGGGACAGGTGGACGCTAATATTTCTATCGGGGGGGTCTCGGCCTCGGGCGTTGTGTTAATTTCGAGGTCCCTGGCGGTTCCTTGCTTGTTGGGCACGGATTTTTTGGCTAAGATGCCCATTCTAATTAGAATCAATGAAAATTGCATTGAACTACCAGGGGGCCGCAAATTGGCGTTTTTACAGTCCACCTGGGGGCGACCGGCTCCGGTTGCCCAGGTGCAGGCGTTATCGGAAGTTTCAGTTGATATTCCACCTGGCTCGCAGATGCTCATTCCCCTACGATACCGGAAGCCGGTTCCGGGTCGGCAGGGTGCTTGTGGAATTTTGCTGTCGCCGTCCGCCGCTGTTACGGGCGGATTGGCACTGGTGGGGGCGCAAACCATTGTCCGTCCGGATCAGCGCCCGTTTTTGCAGGTGTTAAATGCGAGTTCTGAAAGCGTGTGTGTGCCGGCTGGTACCGTTGTGGCACACGCCACTACGGCGTTTACGGCTCAGAGTGACATTCCGGACGGGGGGCTGGTGGGTGGTGTTTCACACGACGGAGGGGTGGACGATCGTTGGATCGCCGAATTATGTGCGGAAAATTCGGCCCTTTCCGCTGAGCAGCGTTGTGCGATTCATAAATTATTAGCGAGCTATTCCGATGTGTTTAGCTCGGACGATTTGGACTTGGGACGCACCTCGCTGCTCTCTCATCACATCGAAACGGGGGACGCGGCCCCTATCCGCTTGAACTCGCGTCGGATGAGTCCGGCTGAGCGTGAGCACGTTCGAGGGGCAGTGGAAGACATGTTGAAAGCGGATATTATATCTCCGTCTAATAGCCCGTGGGGCGCGCCTGTTGTGTTGGTTAAAAAGAAAGATGGTAAATTACGATTTTGTGTGGATTTTCGGAAGTTAAATAAAGTATCGGTGGCAGATGCGTATCCCCTGCCGCGTATGGACGATTCTCTCGACGCCTTGTCAGGGGCTAAGTTTTTTTCAACGCTAGATCTCTCTTCGGGCTTCTGGCAGCTTCCCCTTGACGAGCCCTCGCGGGAAAAGACAGCGTTCCGTACGCCGCAGGGGTTGTTCCAATTTAACTGTCTGCCGATGGGGTTGAATGCAGCCCCTGCCACCTTTCAGAGATTGATGGAGTTGGTATTGACGGGGTTGCAGTGGGAGACATGTCTCATTTATTTAGATGATATTATTGTCTTCAGCCGCACATTTGATGAGCATTTATTGCGGTTGGAGGCCGTTTTTGCCAGAATGCGTTCTGCTAATTTGAAATTCAAGCCTAAGAAATGTCATCTACTGCAACGTTCCGTTCGATACTTGGGACATATTGTTAGTGCGGACGGGGTGGCCACGGATCCAGAGAAAACTGCGTGTGTCCGGGATTGGGCAACCCCCGCCACGGTGGGTGATGTGCGTCGGTTTTTGGGGTTCGCCTCATATTACCGGAGGTTTGTTCCGAATTTCGCTACTATCGCCAGGCCTTTGCATCTCCTTACTGGGAAGGGGCACAAATTTGTGTGGGGACCGCCGGAGGAGGCGGCGTTTCGGAGCCTGCGCGACCTACTGGCTACTGCGCCGACGTTGGATTATCCGGATTTTGACCATCCCTTCATTCTGGATACTGATGCGAGTGACACCGGGATTGGGGCGGTGTTGTCCCAGTCAAAAGGTGGTGTTGAGCGTGTGGTGGCGTACGGGAGTCGGGTTTTGTCTCCCGCGGAAACTCGTTACTGCGTCACTCGCAGGGAACTTTTGGCTATTGTGTATTTTCTCCGCCAATTTCGACCGTATCTGTACGGTCGGTCGTTTATTGTCCGAACGGACCATGCGGCCTTGCAGTACGCTCTTAAGATGGACCAGCCATCCGGACAATTGGCGAGATGGCTGGACACGTTGCAAGAATTCTCCTTCCAAATTCACCATCGGAAGGGTGTGCGTCACGCTAACGCGGACGCACTGTCCAGGTTGCCGCAACAATCCCCTTGTGCGTGTGCGTCGGGGACGCATAGGTGTGGACCGGCTCAGCCCCCCCCTCAGCCTGTCGCGCGGGCAGTGAATGTTCTCGAACCTCCGCTTACACCGGGACCGGTTGAAGGGGGACCGGCTGACGGGATTTTGCGTCTTCCAAGGTCTGTGTGGATTCGGGAGCAAATGTTGGACGATTCTTTGGTGTCGTTACGGAAACGAACGGAGAGGGCGGGTAAGGAAGTCGGTGCGGGTGGTAATTCGGAAACTGCTCCCCGAGATGGGTTACTGATGTGGAGGGAAGGGATACAGGAACACTGGCGTCTCGTTGTGCCTGCGTCATTGCGCTATGAGTTGATTAGATCCTTGCACTGTGACACACTTTTACACCTGGGGGTGCAGAAAACCCTATTGACGCTGCAGCGAGACTATTATTGGCACGGCATGACGACGGATGTCGTCGGTCACGTTCGCGCGTGTCCCGATTGTGCCCGCCGTAAGCCGCCTAAACATCCATATGTTCCGCCGATACAATCGATTAAAGTATCTCGGGTTAATGAGTTGGTGGCGTTAGATATTTTGGGACCCTTTCCGCCATCAGCTAAAGGGAATAAGTATTTACTGGTGGGGGTGGAGTACCTCTCTCGCTGGCCGATGGCCTGGCCCTTGCCTGACCAGTCAGCGGCGTCTATCACGGACGCCTTTCTATTTGGGTATGTAATGGACAAAGGGGCTCCGGAGAGGCTCCTTACGGATCAGGGACGTAACTTTTCGTCTAAATTGTTGGGGGAGGTGTGTGCGGCTCTTGGAACTAAAAAGATACGGACGTCCCCCTACCACCCGCAAACGGATGGTATGGTGGAACGGTTGAATCGGACTCTGTCCGCCATGCTGTGCCATACGGTCGGGGAAAACCAATCTGATTGGGATTTGCATATCCCTGGGGTGCTTTCGGCGTATCGCATGACGCCGCACGCGGCTACTGGATACTCGCCGTTTTTTCTTATGTACGGCCGTGAGAATGTGCCGCCGATTCATGACCAGTTGGGAACCGGTGCGAGGGGGCCTGTTAAGCCTCTTCCTGAGTATATTAAGGACAACGTTCGGCGTGTCGCTGAGGCGAGGGAAAATGCCCGCATGGCTACTGCCAAGGCTCAGGCCAGGAATGAGCGGTGTGCCCGACGTTCAAAGGGGGAGTGTCCCTGGAGAAAGGGGGACCTGGCCTGGCTTCATTGCCCACAGGTGCGGCCAGGTACATCTCCTAAATTACATCGACCTTGGCAGGGTCCGGTCCGCCTCATTGAGGTTCCCAACCCACAGTCGGCGCGTGTTCAGGTTGGTGCACGGCGTTGGTTCGTGCACACGTCCCGGTTGAAGCCATACATTGCCCCACGGCCGGATGCGTCATCTCCCGAAGTTGCCTTGCCGGGGTCTGTTGCTACCGACTCGCCCTTGCCTGTGTCTGCTGACCTTGCGAGAGCGCCTGTCGTACCCTTCACAGACAAGCCGGCCGTGACAGCGCAGGGAGGAGGACCTTCCGCTTGTGGGACGCCGACCGGAGCCGCAGAACCCACGGGACCTGCAGCTCTTCCTATCCCTCCGCGGACGCGAGTACGGGATGTTTCTGGACGCGAGCGGGACAGTGGCGGGCCTCCAATGGCGACGGAAGAACTTGCGCCCGTCGCCCCTAAAACCCTTCCACGTTCCCGCTCGGCGGGTGGGCCGCCGACCGTCCGGGACGGCCCGGCTACCCGTACTCGCTCGAAATCCCTCACGTTTCGTTAGATTGTGTTGTGTTGTGTTATTGTTATAATGTTCTTCAATGCTTCGTGTCTTTTTGCGTGTTGGCCCTTTACACCCGCATTGCTTTTCAGGTTGCAATTAAGCCGAGGTCGGCTGGATTTTCTTTAGGGGGGAGGGTGATGTAATGCGGTTGTAAACGGCCCTTCTGAGGTGCCGTCAGGGGGGGAGGAGTTAGGTCACGTGGGGGGGCAGAGGGGTTGAGTATAGAAGGAGGGGAACCGGAAGAGCAAGGGGAGTGACGGGGAACCAGGAACAGAGGAAGGCCACGAAGGGCGAAGCGGGGTGTGGCGAGATCGCCACGAACACGGGGGGAGCGAGGATCGGCACCGTTGGCCAGCGGTGACCGACCCGAAGCAGCGAGGAGGCTGCAGTCAGCAGCGGGGCTGCACAGAGAGGGTGGGCAGCGGGTCTGCATACAGTGACAGCCAGAGGGTCTGCACATAGGGGTAGCAGCAGGAGTCTGCATAGGGGTAGAAGCGAGTCTGCAGGGAGGAGGTTACAATAGATGAAGCAGAGAGTCAGAGGGGAGAGGAAGCTATAATAGCAGTGAATAGCCGGGGGCTACAAATACAGGAGTTATAACAGAGTGCCGTGTGGGTAAAGACGTGAACCTGAATAAAGACACGAAGACAGAAAGAAGTGTTCGAGTCCTTTTATTACACTATGTAAGCACAAAAATATGATCTACGGAGTCTTTTGTACTATAAACTGGACGCATCGTGTTAGGGGGGGGGGGGGGGAGAAAGAGGACATGACACTGAAGAAATATCCGCAGCGTGATGTGTGTATGTGTGGCCTGTAAAACGCGTAAAATGAAATGTCGCCCGTGAGCTGGAGCGAACGCGCAGCACTTGGTAGGGTCCGCCCCTCCCCCCACGCAATTGGCGTCACTTGGTACGGTCGATGTCGTGCAATAAGTAAATAATGAATAATAGAAACGGCACAAATGTGTTAATTAAACTACTTTAAAGTTTACGGATGGAAAAACGGAATAGCCTATTCCCACCGCGGGGCTTAGAGCGTGCCGCCCGGAAATTTTTTTTATACGTGAAGGCCACCGTCCGAGAGCCAAATCCCCCGAAAGCGCGAGCGAGCGGAGACTTTTATATATAAGAAAGAGAAAGATACGGTCGCCTAACCAATAGTCATTGTGCAATCAGCCAATTGAATGGTGAATTTAAGCTACCTCTACCGGGTTCATGTGTAAATTAAGGGTCTGATACTCGCCAGTGCCTCCCCAGCCATTGACCTCACCGCACGTCACTGGCAAAAACAGTCTACGTAATGAAAGGTCAATAGCACGCAGCATGGCTATTACAATAACGATCACCCCGATTGCAAAGTAGTGAAATGACATTTAGAACCTGATACACGTTTGTCCTATTTGCGATCATCAAGTAAAAAAGATGATAAGACATATAGACTGCAATGCTATAACAATGCACGCATATGCACAACAGTGCATATCCCGACACCGTATTCAACGTGCACAGATTCGTCACTTTAATTTAAAGCATTTATATCAACAATCATAATTATAACATTTAGCCAATCAAAATAGGGATAACATTGCGGCATTTAATTTTAAATCATGTTCACGGTTCTCACCTGCTCGCTCAACTTGAGTATAAGCGTTTTGCACTCCGCGCATCGGAAGGACCATGACGAAGCAAACGATACTATTTATTACGATTATAACTATGTAATTATTTTAATAATAGCAATAGTATTCATTTAATTGTTAGTCTTGCGCAAAAGAAGAGGGAACCACAGCTGCTGCTTCGGGGCCATGCCGAGTGGTGATATAAGCACGCCTTTCATTGGACAGAGGCTCCTCAACAACGGCAGCCGCTTTAATTGGACAAGATGTTTCCCCTCGTAGCTGGGCGTGACCATTCGTGATTTGAAATGATAGGGCAGAATGTACGAGTATTAATGGCAACAAATTCAGTGAAAATCACGAACAGGCACAGGATCGACGAGGCCTGAACGAGACTTTTTTAATGAAATCTTGAATTATCACACGAGACAAGTCTGTGCAAAAAACGTCAGCTCGTTAGGCTTCGTAGATCTGAAAATATTAAGCATCAAAGACTTGAAATAATATAACGGTTATTCAATAGTGGGCCAAGGTCTCCGATTGGAAAGAGGCCTCCAAAGTTATTGGTTGGGAGGCAAGCCTTTGAAGTGATTGGAGGGAAGGGTTTAAACGAGAAAAGCCTGGAAACAGAGTGGAACCCAGAGGCGATAGCTGAAGTTTTCTGCACAGACTCGTCTCGCGTGACAATTCAAGATTTATATTGTTTGGGTCTTTCGGTAAAGCCACGTAGATAGGTTCAAAGCAAATAATAATTAGGAAGAGGGGGTTAGCTTCTAAAGGTAAACTGTTTATAAAGGTTTAAAATGGGCATAGCCCAAATGTCAGCAGCCAATGTTAATGTAAGTGGTGGGCAGCGACCGCGACAGTTGTGGGTTTTTCCACCAATCATAGGGCTTGCCCAGTAAAAACTAGCATGATAATGTAAGATCGCCCTGAGGTGGCTATGCTAATGTGAGAGATTAGCATGTTAATGGCAGATCGCAAAGCAAAAACCTCGAGCTCGAGGAGCGAGGTGGCTGTGTTAGGGTGAGAAATTTAACCTGTTAATGTAAAATCAGTGAGCCGAAAATAACAAATAACATCAGGTGGTAGAATGGGAACATCACAGCTAGTTACGACTTAAACTGGTTGATAACTGATTGCTCAGTTTATACCCATCTTCTCGATTGAAATTGTGTCTGTGTCTATATATATGGATGGCTTCATGAACAAATCTTTGTTGATAGCCAGTGGGTTTACAAAGTACCTTCAAAGTACTTACATTAACATTCGCTGCTGACATTTGGGCTACATCCATTTCAAACCTTTATAAACATTTCACCTTTAAAAGCTAACCCCCTCTTCCTGATGACAAACGCTTGTGTTGCGATCGAAACGTCGTAGTTTTTTGTTATTTTTTATTTTCTTTGAACCTATCTACGTGACTTTACCGTAAGACCCAAAGAATATTAATTCCTGAAAGCAGTCACAAAAGCTTTAAGTCAACACCAAGTTAAATAAAAGTGTGTAAAGAGGCACTGCTACTACTTTGAAAATCAAGAATATTTCACAACTGCACTGCAATAAGATCGTAATTACTGAAAGTTCAACGATGGTTTGATTATATCTACAGCTGCATGCGTTCTTGTAGTGAGAGAAGCCTGTGATTAATATGAATGCTATGGAGCTTCATTGTGGCACGCTCCTGGTTAAAGGTCTTCCCAGACTCCATTTTAAACATTCAGGGCCCTCCTCCTCTGCTCTATCCAAAAAGGTCCATCTACACATCCACAAACTCCTGGAGGTCATCTTTCACCATCACAGTCTGAATCCTCCTGCTTCACGCTGCCTCCATCTACCTGGAGGTCGGGTCCTGAAACCAAATCTTTATCTTCACATTTCACCTTCACTTCTTCACATTTCACCTTCACTTCTTCACATTCCACCTTCAATCCTGGCCACGTTTCAAAGCTGAGAGTTTCTTAATTTTTTTGTTGCTTGAGAGATGGGTTCATTGTAGCATTTTTGCTTTCACTTGGTGCTTTCACCTTCCTTTCCTCGTGGATCTTATCATGCCTGTTTCGGACTGCTAACCGTGCAAATGCACCCCCACACACAGTACACTTGAATGGCTTTTCGCCCGTGTGTGTTCTCTGATTAATATGAAGAGATCCTGACTGTGTAAAGCCTTTTCCACACACGGTGCACTTGAAGGGATTTTCGCCTGTGTGTTTTCTGGTGTATTTTAAGATGTGATACCTGTTTAAATGCCTTCCCCACACAACATGGACTTGAAGGGGTTATTTCCTGTGTGTGTTCTCCGGTGAGACTTCAAGTGGTTAATGTGATCTGCACTGTAGGAACATTGGCTGCATTGGTGCCTTTTAGTAGCGGCCTTTGTTGAGTCTCTCTGTTCCATTTTGATTGATTCTGCAGATATACATTACAAACAATATATGCACACATTACACACTCAGTACAACTAGTAGTATGTATACACATTACACACTATATATATACACACAGCATAGACTTACATGCAGTACACCCAGCAGAACACAATATACACACATTATACACTCACACGCAGTAAACCCAGGAGCTATACATACACATTACACACAATATACACACATACATTACATGCATATTACACAAAATATACAAACAGGCATTAAACACTCAGACAGTACACCCAGCAGCTATCCATATTACACTCTATATACACACACACATTACACACCGACATGCAATACACTCAGCAGTGCTGGATTATCCTGGGAACAAAAATTGCATATGCTACGGGCCCCGCACTTTCAAGGTCCCCGCGCTAAATGCTTTCAAGCTATAAATTACGGTTCAGTGATTCTGCACTTGCTCTATTACTATAGTACTATACTGCCTTCAACTTTTATGAACAACTGGGTGTTTAAGGTTAGCGATTTGTCATATTATCTGGCAATATAGCCAATGAAAAAATACAATTACTTTACCATGCAATTCTAGATTTGAAGCTTTCGTGACTGCATACAGCTGTCGTGGCTGTGACGGTTCCACCTGAAGACGGAAGCTTGTGTTACCTCCGAAACGTCGTGATTTTTATTTTAATTTACTTTTATTAATTTTAATGTTTTTACCTACGTGACTTTACCGAAAAAACCTAAGAATATTTACCATGCAAGTTGAAATTTTGTGTTTTAATATTTGTTTTGTTTTTTATGGCCCCTTTATAAACATATGCTACAGGCCCCGCACTAGCTTAATCCGGCACTGACACCAAGCACTTCTAAGTAAACGTTACATTCATTACACACACATTACACACTCACACGCAACACACACATCAGATATACATACACATTACACTTAATATAAAAATACATATTACATTCATACGCAGTACACCCAGCAGAAAGATACACATCGCACGCAATACACAAAACTATTTTATTCACCAGGTAAAGGCCACTGAGCTATTTGCTATTTTTCAGAAGCGACTTGACCACAATTGATAGCTCAACGGAGTGGCTTATAATGTGGAAATGTGTAGAAGATAAATAATCTAAATGCATTTTTTTTACGTGGAGGAAAAAACTGGAGGACTCCGAGAAAGATCCACACGACCAAGGGCAGAATATGCAAACTCTAAATATACATGCGTCAGGGACGGGATCGAATGCATAACCTCCTTCATACTATAACATCTCGCCACATCACAAACAATAAACATGCATTTTACACTTACACACAGCACACCTAAACACAATATACACTCACATTAAATACATCTCACACAGTACTTACGCGTCACACTTCCCATCAAAGATCCTCCATAGTCTTTTACCAGGGCCAGGTTGTGACAATGCTGGGGGGCCCTAAACTATGTCAAGCTGAAGAGTAATGTCTGTATATGTGTCCATATCGAAATGAAAACAAACGCATTAAGTATGTTTTTCCAATCTCCTTTACTTTTCAAACGATTGAGTAATACGTGAAATTTAGCGTATTTGTTTTCGTATTTAGTGCGTCCCCTTTTGACAGGGTGATAGCCATCGGACTTCCTGTGCATCTTCAGGACGTCCAGATGCCCATTCCACTCCTGCCAATACCGTATTTGCACATCTTATATAGATGTATGTACAGCAGCAGCGCCTTAATCTAATGCGCTTTACAACCATTATACATCTTTAATTATCCTGGAGGAATCCATTGAGCTACAAAGCTATGTCCAGTCGGGGCGGGTCGCACAAGTTACAACACAAAAATACAGAAAAAGTAAGCAAGTGACTAAACCCAATGCATATAAGTAAATAAGAAATAACCGCAATGTTGATGAGCTGACCAGCACACCGCGGGTTAAAGTTACATTATTGTTGTCTCACGGGGGTCAAAAATTCCCATTGTTCATGCTCGGTCCGTTTTTGTTTCATATTTGAGATCAAAGGCTTGTATGTTTGTTCGAACTTTTTCGCACCGTACATAGGCAACCGTGCTAATCGTTTGTGATTGCACTCCGTGAAAACAAATCAACAAAAAATGCTCAACAAGATAACAGCAAACTAGAGCAGCAGGCCAGGCTTGCATTTGTAGGGGTGTCAGGGGAAGGATTCCCACCAATAGGAGGGTTAGTGGGAGGGGTAATCGAGGAGATATAAGGGGAGAACGGGCGGGAAGAGGGGGCTTTTTGGCGGGAACGAGATTGGGACGGCTGGGGACAGGTGTGGATGGGAGAAAAGGATTAAAAGACGAACCCCCTGCAACCTTGTGTCGGCTCTCCTTTACATCTGGTGGCAGCGGTGGTATCTACAATGGCTACGAAGAAGAATCCCCGCGGAAAAGAGCCAAGGGAAGAGGAAGCAGGGGCCGGGGATCCTTCCCATCCCGGGCAACAAGGGGGCCTGCTACCAGAAGCAGCAGCAGGGGGCCCAGACCTCATGGAGGACCGCATGGCCCGCGTGGAGAGGGCACTCCAGGAGCTACTGTGGAGGCTCCGTATGGGGGGCCTGCCGGCACCGGGACCCCCACTCCCACGCGTACTATGGGAGGAGGGGCCACGGGACCCAGAGGCTGACCAGCCAGCCGGGCAGGAGCCAAAACCAACCTCGTCATGCCAGCCGCCGCCGTTCCCGCCAAAACCCCCAGGGCTAAACACCCCTCACGGGGAACAGGTGGCAGGACGGGCACGTCGGCTGGGGCCCGTCGAGAAATTCGTGGCCGAGGGAGGAGATTGGGAGGCGTTTGTCTGCCGATTCGAGGCTGCCTTCCATGCTCTCAAAGAGGCACTGCGAGCGTTGCCATCCGTTCTGGACGACGATGCGCTCGCCTCTTACACCTCCCTTCCCTAGCACAGCAAAACCACGCTACAGGTGGCCTACGAGGCTTTGGGGGAGATCTACTGTCCAGCTGAAGGCGCCTTTAAACGATTCCAGGACCGCCAGCGAGGGGCTAGAGAATCCCCTTTAGCCTACAGGGGTGCGCTGCTCATGTTGGCGAGGAGGGCTTTCTCTCGCCTGGCTGAGAAAGCGCTCGAGGACCTCGTGGTCGAGCACCTCATCGCCTACGCTTGCCGCGCTGGTGTTGTAATGCCCGTGGTGATGCCGGGGGAACGCACCTCGCTGTGGGCTGCCCGGACCCTCCAAGCCCACGAACAGGTCATGGGCCGGGCGCTACCCATGGGCCAGGTTGCTGGCGCAGCGGGGGAACAGCCGAGCCGTTGCCGCGGCGCTACTGGGACCAGCGGTACCAACCGCCGAACCTGCACCGTCGCCGCAGGCTGCCTGTGGGGCAGCTGGGAACGGACCCCTGACGTCTGAGCCGGAGCCATCGCTGCGGGAGATGTACGCGGCATATCCGGGGGCTGGCGGAGCAGAGAGACCAGGGGCGCGACCAGCCGCCGTGCCGCTGGCAGCCGCCTCGACAACACCGCGCCGAGCCACCCCGACGGAACGCCCCGTGGGTCTGCCACCATTGTGGTCGAGAGGGGCATGTGGTGAGGGGGTGCCACACGGAGCCGGAGGCCGCCAACGCCACCTGGAACCTGCCGGGGCCGAACGCCGACAGGAACCAGGCGAGTGAAGCCATCCCGCCTGGCCTCTCGGTTGGGCCGAAAAAATACACTCCCGATGCCGCGACCTTACCGGGAGCCTCCTCGGGGTGGGCGCCGTCGGGTGTCGGGCCCCGGGCCCCGCTGTCCTGGTCGGGGGATCGCACCGGGGCCGGGGATTGCACCGGGACTGGGGACCGCGCCGGGGCTAGGGACTGGGCCAGAGATCGCGTCGCGGACTGCAATCGCGTCGCGACCGGAAGTGGCGTCGCGACCGGAAGTGGCGTCGCGAACGGACGTGACGTCGCGGCCGGAAGTGGTGTCGCGGACCTTGCCGGGGATCGCGCCGGGGCCGGGGACCGCGCCGGGGATCGCGCCGGGTCCGGGGACCGCGCCGGGACCGGAAGTGACGTCGCGGCAGGACGTGGTGTCGCGGCCGGAAATGGCGTCGCGGGCAGACGTGACGTCATGGCCGGAATCGACGTCACGGAGGGAAGTGGCGTCGCGGACCGGCGGGGTTTCGCGGGCGGACATGACATCACGACCGGAAGTGACGTCACTAGTTACCTGCGACGCCGGCGAGTCACCAGGGGCAACAGCCCTGGGGCTGGGGCAGCACATCCGATTGCCGGTGTGTCGTGGAGCAGTTCCACGCACCGCCTCACCATCGCTTTGCGACGGAGCGAGACAGGACCAGGGGGACCACACCATGAAGGGGGACCATACCCCCGTGACAAAGGAAGGGGAGAAGGGATGGGCTCACGGGAAGGTCCACCCCACAATCCCCACCTCCCACAAGGGGGCCCATCCTACGTCACCAAGAGGGGGCAATTTGCACCACATGGAGAGCCCAGCCCGCACCCCAGGGGGGAGCCCATACCATGTACCAAGGGCGCATTCACCCTGCTGCGACACACTCCAAAGGGGGGAACTCTATCTTCGGTCCATTCACATACATCTCCACCATCATCACCGCCAAAGTCACCGCCATCATCATCATCCCTACCCGGGCCAAGGTCGCCAACCACCACTCGCCGACCGGCAGGAGGTTCGGTGCCCTGTGTTCCCTTGTCACCTACAGCACCCCATGTGAGGCCTGACGGAGCGGCGGCACGACCGGGGGCCGCGGGGGCCCGAGAGACAGCGGCACCTGGCAAGGCGACACCGGCGCCACCGAACCAGGGACTGCAAGGAGAGGGCCTTCGAAGGAGGGGGCCGCCACGGTCATCTGCTGCCTGTGGATGTCTGGGCTGTTACGGGACGCTGGCTGGAGACCCGGGCAGGCCGTTCAATTGATTTTTTTGCGTTATATTGCATTGTATGGTTGTGGGGGGGTTAAGGGCGGTCTTCACTGTCAGTGGGGGGAGGCATGGGGAGACTTAAATGGTCCATGGGGGATGCAGAACCGAGGACGTTTTTTTTTTTCTCCGGGGGGGGGGGGGGGGGGGGTAATGTAGGGGTGTCAGGGGAAGTATTCCCACCAATAGGAGGGTTAGTGGGAGGGGTAATCGAGGAGATATAAGGGGAGAACGGGCGGCAAGAGGGGGCCTCTTGGCGGGAACGAGATTGGGACGGCTGGGGACAGGTGTGGATGGGAGAAAAGGATTAAAAGACGAACCCCCTGCAACCTTGTGTCGGCTCTCCTTTACGCATTGACTATGCCCAACAATTTAAGGTGCTTATTTCACAACCTGGAAATCGATTCGACAGATAATTGATATCCGTACGAAAGATAATAATGCATGTCTTTCCTGGGTAAACAACAACAAAAACCAGCTACCACCACGATGCAAACATCTCACCTCGAATTCAAGTGAGAGGTGAGTAGAGCCAGTTGACTCTTTGACCCACTTCCTGGTTCAGGTGTATCGTGACATCACATGGTGGCACATGGGTGGGGCGGGAGGGCCCTGTGACGTCATGAGCGGGGAAAATAGGAGAGTGGGGGATGGTGGAGTGAGGGGGTGTTCATGATGGTGGGCAGGCCCGGGTAAAGCTACGTAGCTCGGAGTCAGAGCCATTCCCTGTTCACCTTGGGGTGCGACAGGGGTAGCATCTGGCTGCACTAGGAGGCTGATCGATGCCCGGGTGCGGTTGAAGGATGGTTTCCTATTGGTAAACCATGTTACGTATGCTGATGATCTGGTGATTGTTGCTCACTCAGAGAAAGGAGTTGAGGTGCTGCTCCTGAACCTGGAGCGTGCTACTAACAGGTGGGGCCTTACCACTAGCCCCACCAAATATAAGCACCTGCGTGGGTATTTTGTGTCATATAATACTTCACCACCTCAACTCCCCATTCGTGATGGGTCAATTGTTTAGAGAGTGGATAGGTTCCCATACTTGGGCAGTGTGCTTCTGACCAGCTTCAGTTTGACAGCAGAGGTCTCACTCCGAATCAGTCGGGCAGCATTATTTTTTCATAGGCTGCGTAACACTGCGTGGAAGGTACCTGGTCTGTCGCTCCACACAAAGCTTTGGGTCTTCTCGACCAGTCATACCCTCCCTTCTCGATGCATGCTAAACGTGGACCCCCCCAATGTAACTTCTGCAAACCTTCAGGCTGGTCTAACTAGGATCCATCCTAGGTTTAACCAGGCTGGAAGATCTGAACAGTCCCATCGGTGAGCTCCTTCGACAGGCAAGGGCTGCATTGGATGGGTCATATATCTTGCATGTTCTAACAGCTTTTGTTTGGCTGGATAGAGGGGGCTAAACGGGTATGGCACGGGCTGGAGAAGCGATGGACTGATGCTGTACAGGATGTGGAGCTAAGTGGACTTGCCGAAGACAGGTACCAGTAGTCAAGATCGGTCTCTGTGGAGGAGGCTCGTGAAGGACGCGACTGGGTAGTTGGAGGCAGTCGCCCTCCAACGACAGTGACGTTCACACAAAAAGCAGAGCGCTGGGCAGCTAAAACACAGCAAGTTGGCACAATACGTGGCAAATGTGATTTGTAAATTTGATTCTTAAAAATGTATCGATAGTTACATTTTCATGTGTAATTTTATTGAGGGACTGTGTATTGTCTTGGTTTGGTCTGGGACTGTTTTTGTTTTACTGCCTTTTCCCAAGCTTGGGAATTTAAGTACTAATGTAATTTGAACGTATATACTTAATTTGTTGAAGGAGCACCACAGTGATGAGATGTTATCTTCCTCGCCTGATATGCAGGTCGTGAGTTTGATCCCGACTCCTGTATATTTGGAGTTTGCAGGTTCTCCCCATCGTCGCACGGATTTTTTTTTCACCGGGTCTTCCGGTTTTTCTCTCCACATTTAGAAACACGCATTTAGATTATTTTACTCCACATATATTTCCACATAAGCCACTTTGTTGAGCTATCATTTGTAGCCAGGTCGCTTGTGGAAAGAAACGAATAGTGCAGTGGGCTTTACCTGGTAAGATAAATTCTAGATTTGAAGCTTTCGTGACTGCAAGGATTCATACTCTCAGGTTTTTTCGGTAAAGTCACGTAGGTAAAAAATAAAATTTAAAGTTAATAAAATAATGGAGATAAAATAAAATAATAAATCACGACGTTTCGGAGGCAACACAAGTCTCCGTCATCAGGTGGGACTGTCACAGATAAAATTACATTTATTAACTTTTAATTTTATTTTTTACCTACGTGACTTTACCAAAAAAACCTGAGAGTATGGTAAGATAAAGTTTAATTCATTTAAATATTTTTTTAAGTGATTTGTTTACCTTTCCTATACTTTGCATGCAAGAAAAAGTTACAAGTATAAACTGAACTTTAAAACATGCGTGTTCAGTACAGCTGTGTATGCCTGCGAGACTTGAACATTAAAAAAGTTAGATATAAGATATTGGCACTAGAAATGTATTGCTATAGTAGGATACTACATCTAAGCTGGACCCAAAGAGTGACTAACATAGAAGAAAAAGGTTGCACATAAAAGACCTGATGCAGGCAGTGATGAGAAATAAACTGGCACTATTTAGACACATCTGTAGGATGAACAACAAGTGTATTGTTCGGAATAAATTAAAGGAACATGAAAGAGAGGAAGACCTAACAGAATGGCTTGACACAAGAGATTGGTGCCATAAAGATGTGCACTACTTGAGCATATTGGCACAAGAGAGGTAAGTGGAAACAAATGACGAAATGTGCAGTGGCCACTTACGGGCTATCTGCTAATGCAGGGGTGGGGAACCTTTTTTCTGCCAAGGGTCATTTGGATATTTATAAAATAATTCGCGGGCTATACAAAATTATCAACTTAAAAATTAGCCTGTTATATTTCGTCAAACATTTAATTAACTCACCCCTAATGTGATGGCTGGAACTGCTTCTCTTTGGTGAGGCGTGTGATGTTCGCTGGTATTGATGATGTTGCTACTCACAACTGCTTTTCGAGGTTTGCTCCTAAATTTATTGAATTTCGAGTCCTGCCTGCGGTTGCCTTGGCAGGGCCAGACCAAATGGTTTCGCGAGCCTTATACGGCCCACGGGCCGGACGTTCCCCACCCCTGTGCTAATGAATTGTGATGATGCTAGTTTGCACTCCTATTGTGTTTTTGTATTATTTGTTGTAACAGTCTGAGCCGGCCCTACTTAACATCTGCAAAAAAGAGCTTTATAGCTCATCGAATTCATCCATTATATGAATACATATTTTGATTTTGATCTGCCAGTCATTGCAATCAACCCATGGCACCTGGGTCTGCCCAGTGACCTTCTGCCAGAGCCTTCAACATTTCTCGTGGCCTCACATTTCACTTCGACTGGCACAAGCGCCTTGGTGACATCACCGCCACTTAGTGGTGAACGGCGGTTGTTGTGAATGTTTGTATTGTGTGCGCACTGTATATGTATGTTACGTGTATGATTTGTGCGTGTGGTGGATGTGTATATTGTGTCGAGTATGCCGTGTGTGTGAAGTTAAAGAAGTCTGAAAAATAAATGTTTAAAAGATGAGGGAGCATTGCAGACAGGCAAAGCCACATATGACAACCAATTTAATGGTAATGTTCAACAGTTAACAGAAAATTAAGTGTCATGCATAACAATCAAATTATACTTCTAAATTACGAAAAATAAACCCTACTTCTTTGCAAATCGACTATTGCATTACACTGAAATTACATATTTACTGAAAGCTTTCACTGTTTGGATTACACCTACAGTTGCATGCATTCTTGTAGGGAGAGAAGCCTGTGAATAACGTGAACACGATGGAGCTTCTCTGGGTCACGCTCTTGGTGAGAGATCTTAATCCCACTTCACACATCCAGGGCGCTCCTATTGTTTTTTCCGTAAAGCCCATCCACACCTCCACATCCACAAACTCCTGGGGGTCATCTCTCCCTCACAGGCCGAATCCTCCTGGTTCATGCTGCCTCCATCCACGGGTCCTAGAGCCGAATATTCATCTTCCCATTCCACATCACTCCTGACCACGTTGTAAGGGGGGGGGGGGGGGAATTTACCTGTAGTTCCTTTGGTTCATTGCTGCACTTTGATTTTCTCTAGCCTTCGTGTGGATCTGCCCATGACTGTTTCGGCATTCTGACCGTATAAATGACTTCTCACCAGTGTGTGTTCTGCTCATGCTTCATGCTGCCGCCATCAAACTGGAGGTCAGGTCCTGGAATCCAATCTTCATCTTCACATTTCACCTTCACTTCTTCACATTCCACCTTCACTCCTGGCCACATTGCAAAGGGGGGATATTGTTCTGGTTCCTGTTTAATAAGAGATGGGGTCACTGCAGCACTTCGACTCTCACTTGTGGATTTGCCATTCCAGTCTGTGTGGGTCTTCTCTTGACTGTTTTGGACTTCTGACCTTGTAAACGCATCCCCAGGCACATTGCACGTCAAAGGCATTTCGCCTGTGTGCATTTTCTGATGTCTGTTAAGATGTGATGAACGTGAAAATGACTTCTCACACACTGTGCACTTGAAGGGCTTTTCAGCGAAGTGTGTTTTCTGATGTCTGTTAAGATGTGATGACCGTGTAAATGTATTCCCACACAGAGTGCACTTGAACGGCCTTTCACCTGTGTGTTTACTCTGGTGAATATGTAAATCTTCTGACTGTGTAAAAGCCTTCCCACACACAGTGCACTTAAAGGGCATCTCTACTGTGTGTGTTCTCTGGTGAATATGAAAAGATCCTGCATGTGAAAATCCCTTCCCACATACAGTGCAAAAGAAGGGCTTTTTACCAGTGTGTGTTTTCTGATGTGTCTCAAGATGCGATGACCGTGTAAACGCATTCCCACACACTGTGCACTTGAAGGGCTTCTCGCCGGTGTGTGTTTTCTGATGTCTGTCAAGATGTGATGACCGTGGAAATTCCTTCCCACAAACAGTGCACTTGAAGAGCTTCTCTCCAGTGTGCGTTCTTTGGTGAATACGCAGAGATCTTGAATCTTTAAATGCCTTCTCACACACTGTGCATATGAAAGGTTTTTCATGAGTGTGTGTTTTCTGATGTGTGTCAAGATGTGATGACCGTGAAAATGCATTCCCACATACAGTGCACTTGAACGGCTTCTCGCCAGTGTGTGTTTTCATATGTCTGTCAAGATCTCCTGACCGTGTAAATGCTTTCCCACACACAGTGCACTTGAAGGGCTTTTCACCAGTGTGTGTTCTCTGGTGAATACGCAGAGATCGTGCATCTTTAAATGCCTTCCCACACACAGTGCACTTGAAGGGCTTCTCGCCAGTATGTGTTCTCTGATGTTTCTTCAAATTGCCCATCTGATCCGTGCTGTATGAACAAAGGGCGCATTGGTGCCTTTTAATTCCAGGCTGTGTCGAGTGTCTCTGCTCCATGTGATTGATTCTGTAGATATATATTAAACACAATATAAATAAAGTTTACTACCTGTAAAAACTCGTTTTCATTGATGAACAAAAGGGTGGCATAGATTAAATTGCTGAACCCAAACAACTACTTGCAAACTACACCGATGTGTGTAAGGATGAAGAATTAAAACCAGTATATATGGGATGACCCAAAAATACAGGTGTTAAGATATTAAAACACCAAACAGACATCCATTATTGCAAGACATCGAGTCTGCATCACCCACACATCATGTTTGTGGCAAAGCATGCAAACCAAATATGCTTTGAAAATTATGTACGCATTATCCTTGGAACTGGTTGGCCTACCCCAGAGCTACAGCCTTCGTTCTGGCCTTGCCTCACCAGTGTTAGAACAAAGAACAATGCCACAAAAGGTGAGCAATACAGGACAATGCAAATACCAAAGCATTAATAGATCGGGTTGAGCAGTTATATCTCGATAGAATGTTAATGGAAGTCAGTTTGAACATTTGTTAAACTAAATTAAATACAGTAATCCCTCGCCACTTCGCGGTTCAAGTTTCGCGGCCTCAGTGCATCGCGGATTTTTCAAAAATATTCATCGAAAAATAAAAATAAAAAAATACCGCCATATCGGCAGCCGTATTGCGGAAAGCAGCGTTGTTTCATCGTGATGCGCGAGAGAAACGGTTTCCCAGGATGCCAAACAAAGAGAGAAACTCTCTCAGAGGCTTTGTACATACTGTACCCACGGGCACTCAGACAAGGCACGTGATTGGTTCCCGGCGCGAGATCGACGAATGAGAGCACGAGTGGATGTACAGTTTCCCGTGAGCTGATTGGCTGCGCATCATAATACGTATCGTATGAGAGAGTGAATGTATAATATTAAGGTTTAATAATTAAATAGATTTAAGTAAAATATGTGAGTGAGTGAATGTATAATATTAAGGTTTTATAATTAAATAGATTTAAGTAAAATATATATATATATAAAGTATAAATATACATATTTTAAACATTCTGGTACCCACACCCACATATACGGAAATTCCTAGGGGGGCCAATCCTACTTCGCGGATTTTCACCTATCGCGAGGGGTTCCGGTCCCCATTAACCGCGATAAACGAGGGATCACTGTAACCCTAGATATCTGATTTGTTACGCGTTTTAATACGTGATTAGTTTAACACATAGGCTTTTGCGACCATAATTCATAAGGTTTTTGGGTTAGATCGCGTGAGTATAAATGTGTCGTAACCCTCTACCACCCGATACAGCCAATTAGTAAGGGATTTGTCACGTAAACAAAATAACAAATAGTTACTACTTGAGCCCACCGGTGTGTTGGAGAGTAAATACACAACATTTACAATTTGAGTACGACGTTTCGCTGGTAATTACATCCAGTTAAGATGAAAATAACCCTGTATAATTCGTTAAAATAAAGATTGTGTGCTTACTTTTCGTATACCCTTTATTTATGTTTTTATTACTCTAAAAATACGTAATTGGGAAACATATTAATCGTTGATCCTGTACTGTACTACAAAAAGTTGCAGGGCTCTTTGGCATAGCACGAGTTCCCACACCGATTAGGTACGTACAGTGTGAAAAAAGTTCAACATACATTATCCAAATAAGGCCAGTGTTATTTACAAATGTTAGTTGTTTTGCATGTGCTTGTTGTACAACCACTGCCAACGGGACCTCACCAAACAATCCACTGAAACTGGCATTGGCCAAACATGACATTGTAAAAAAAAAACTGGATTTGCAAATGACTCAACTGGTTCGGATTACTGCAAAACACCGTCACCTCTACCGCGAAAGCTGGCAGAACACTGCTGGACTAGTCTTGAGACTGACCGAGGTCAAGTAATCAGACAGACGAAGACAAGTTTAACACATAGGCTTCGCGACCAATATTCATAATTAAATAAAGGATTTAGTTTTAGATCGCGTAAGTATAAATGTGTCGAAACCTTTCACCACCCGACATGGCCAATCAGTAAGGTATTTGTCACGTAAACAAAACGCCAAATACTTACTACTTCAGCCCACCGGTGTGTTGAAGAGTGAATCCATAACATTTACAATCCGAGTACATTTCAGATCGGGCCGATTTGCCAGATGCTGGATGTAATTACCTGCGAAACGTCGTACTCAGATTGTAAATATTGTGGATGCACGTTTTTACACACCGGTGGGCTGAAGTAGTAACTATTTGGCGTTACTGATTGGCCGTTTCGGGTGGTGGAGGGTTTCGACACATTTACACTTACGCGATTTAACCCAAAAACCTTTATTATGAGATGAAGGCAAATTACACGAGAATCACCAAAGACGATAACAGCAGCAGTAAGGGCTGCAGGCCAGCCTTGCGTGGGGTAGGCGCCACATTGTAAATGTTTCAGTTTTTTTAGTTTTGCTCCGTTGCCCCAAGCTTGCATTTTGGTGTTGAAAAATCGGTGGGAATTTATGTGCGTACGTCGATACAATTTGTACTGTATACTTTTTAACACGTAGGCTTTCGCGACCGATATTATCCGTAAGTTTTTTTGTTATTTGGGTTAGATCGCGTAAATATTTGCGTATATACATGTTGTGGCTTGGCTCTCCAACACACCGGTGTGCCGTACTAGTGACGAATTGTCCACGTTCTGTTTACGTGACAACCCTTACAAAATTTCGATTTAAAGCTTTCGTGACTGCAGGGATTCATCTTCTTGGTTCTTTCGGTAAAGTCACGTAGAATGGAAACAATAAAAATAATAAAATAAAACAATAAAATAATTCTCACGACGTTTCGGCCACAACGCAAGCAGCCGTCATCAGGTGAAGACCAGGCCTGTGTCGGGTGGTGGTGGGTTTTAACGACACATTTATATACTTACGCGATCTAACCCCCCCCCCCAAAAAAAAAAAAACTATATACATTATTTACATTAATTTATCATGACTCGCTTACCTTTGTCTCTATTGTGGCACCATATGGTTGTCTGTATTGTTTGTTGTTGATGGAAACTTGCTGGACCCCCTCAGTCACAACTGGACATCTGTGAAAAAGAGCGTGATAGCCCATCAGATGTCCTCCTCCTGCGGTTCTAAAATACCGCTCATTATTCCGTTGTATCACAACCAGTCCGCAGTGCAAACTGTACGCGAAAGCAATGAGGCACAGAGAGAGATCAGAACAACAAAACACACACAAGGAGTCCGTCACGTAAATCAAAGTTACATAGACACCGGCGCGATTGTGCCGTGGGACGAGGTTTGCGTTGTGGGCTGACCAGAGCGGAATGCGCGGAGTCTCTCCTCGGCGAGGTGCAGCACACAGAGGGGGCCTGAGGACAAACGAAAACGAGAATTAAAAAATAATCAGCCGAGAGGCATCAGTCCCAGGGCCCGCGCGGCTCGGCCCCCCTCCGCCTTGTAATGTTACAACCTGCACATCGATTCCCACAGCTGCTATATATATTCTCTCCATTGATATGCACAGACAGAGAAGGCATAGGGCGAGGCTTTGCGCCTGGGTAAACAACAACAACAGCAGCAGCTGTAGCAGTGGTGGTGATCTCACGAGACACATCAGTAGCTGTAGTAGTAGCAGCTGTAGTAGTGGTGGTGATCTCACACGGGAGACATCAGCAGCTGTAGTAGTAGTAGCTGTAGTATCAGCTGTAGTAGCTGTAGTAGTAGTAGCTGTAGTAGTGGTGGTGGTGGTGAGCTCACACAAGATACAATAGCAGCTGTAGTAGTAGCTGTAGTAGCAGTAGCTGTAGTAGTAGCAGTAGCTGTAGTAGTGGTGGTGGTGATCTCACACGAGAGACATCAGCAGCTGTAGTAGTAGCTGTAATAGTAGTAGCTGTAGTAGTGATGGTGATCTCACACGGGAGACATCAGCAGCTGTAGTAATAGTAGTAGCAGCTGTAGTAGCTGTAGTAGTAGTAGCAGTAGTAGCTGTGGTGGTGGTGATCTCACACTAAAAGACATCAGCAGCTGTAGTAGTAGTAGCAATAGCTGTAGTAGTAGTAGTAGCAGTAGTAGCTGTGGTGGTGATCTCACACGAGAGACATCAGCAGCTGTAGTAGTAGCAGCTGTAGTAGTAGCTGCTGTAGTAGCAGTAGTAGTAGCAGTAGATGTAGTAGTAGCAGTAGCTGTAGTAGTGGTGGTGATCTCACACGAGATACATCAGCAGCTGTAGTAGTAGCTGTGGTAGTAGCTGTAGTAGCTGTGGTGGTGATCTCACACGAGAGATATCAGCAGCTGTAGTAGTAGCTGTAGTAGTAGTAGCTGTAGTAGCTGTGGTGGTGGTGATCTCACACGAGAGACATCAGCAGCTGTAGTAGTAGCTGTAGTAGTAGCTGTAGTAGCTGTGGTGGTGGTGATCTCACACGAGAGACATCAGCAGCTGTAGCAGTAGCTGTAGTAGTAGTAGCTGTAGTAGTAGCTGTGGTGGTGGTGATCTCACACGAGAGACATCAGCAGCTGTAGTAGTAGCTGTAGTAGTAGTAGCTGTAGTAGCTGTGGTGGTGATCTCACACGAGAGACATCAGCAGCTGTAGTAGCAGTAGCTGTAGTAGCTGTGGTGGTGGTGATCTCACACGAGAGACATCAGCAGCTGTAGTAGCAGTAGCTGTAGTAGCTGTGTGGTGGTGATCTCACACAAGAGACATCAGCAGCTGTAGTAGTAGCTGTAGTAGTAGTAGCTGTAGTAGCTGTGGTGGTGATCTCACACGAGAGATATCAGCAGCTGTAGTAGCAGCTGTAGTAGTAGTAGCTGTAGTAGCTGTGGTGGAGGTGATCTCACACGAGAGACATCAGCAGCTGTAGTAGTAGCTGTAGTAGTAGTAGCAGTAGTAGCTCTGGTGGTGGTGATCTCACACAAGAGACGTGAGCAGCTGTAGTAGTAGCTGTAGTAGTAGTAGCAGTAGCTGTAGTAGTAGTAGCAGTAGTAGCTGTGGTGGTGGTGATCTCACACGAGAGACATCAGCAGCTGTAGTAGTAGCAGTAGCTGTAGTAGTAGCTGTAGTAGTAGTGGTGATCTCACACGAGAGACATCAGCAGCTGTAGTAGTAGCTGTAGTAGTAGTGGTGGTGATCTCACACGAGAGACATCAGCAGCTGTAGTAGCAGTAGCTGTAGTAGTAGTGGTGGTGATCTCACACGAGACATCAGCAGCTGTAGTAGTAGCTGTAGTAGTAGCTGTAGTAGCAGCTGTAGTAGTAGTAGTAGCTGTAGTAGTAGCAGTAGCTGTAGTAGCAGCTGTAGTAGCTGTAGTAGCAGCTGTAGTAGTAGTAGCTGTAGTAGTAGTAGCAGCTGTAGTAGTAGCTGTAGTAGTAGCAGCTGTAGCAGCTGTAGCAGCTGTAGTAGTAGCAGTAGCTGTAGTAGTAGTGGTGGTGATCTCACACGAGAGACATCAGCAGCTGTAGTAGTAGTAGCTGTAGTAGCTGTGGTGGTGGTGACCTCACACGAGAGACATCAGCAGCTGTAGTAGTAGCTGTAGTAGTAGTAGCTGCAGTAGTAGCAGTAGCTGTAGTAGTAGCAGCAGCTGTAGTAGTAGTAGCTATAGTAGCTGTGGTGGTGACCTCACACGAGAGACATCAGCAGCTGTAGTAGTAGCTGTAGTAGTAGTAGCTGCAGTAGTAGCAGTAGCTGTAGTAGTAGCAGCAGTAGTAGCAGCTGTAGTAGTAGCAGTAGCTGTAGTAGTAGCTGTAGTAGTAGTAGCAGTAGCAGCAGCTGTAGCAGTAGTAGTAGCTGTAGTAGCAGCTGTAGCAGCAGCTGTAGTAGTAGTAGCTGTAGCAGCTGTAGTAGTAGCAGAGACGTCAGAGCGAGCGTCAGAGCCCCGGACGCGAGGAGCGTCTCGCGCCGATGACGTCACGGGGAGGCGCGTGCCCCAGAGACGGCGGGGTGGGAGGGGTGAGTTGGGGGGGGTCGGTGGGGGGGTGGGTGGGGTGTGAGTGGGGGGGTGATTTGGGGGGGGTCAGTGGGGGGGTGTGAGTGTGGGGGGTGTGAGGGGGGGTGAGTGGGGGGGTGTGAGTGGGGGGGTGGGTGGGGTGTGAGTGGGGGGGGTGAGTAGGGGCTGGGGGTGGGGTGTGAGTGGGGGGGGGTGTGAGTGGGGGGGGTGTGAGTAGGGGGTCTGGGTGGGGTGTGAGTGGGGGGGGTGGGGTGTGAGTGGGGGGGGGTGAGTAGGGGCTGGGTGTGGGGTGTGAGTGGGGGGGGGTGTGAGTGGGGGGGGGTGTGAGTAGGGGGTCTGGGTGGGGTGTGAGTGGGGGGGTGTGAGTGGGGGGGGGGGGTGTGAGTAGGGGGTCTGGGTGGGGTGTGTGAGTGGGGAGGGGGTGTGAGTGGGGGGGGGTGTGAGTAGGGGGTCTGGGTGGGGTGTGAGTGGGGGGGTGTGAGTGGGGGGGGGGGGTGTGAGTAGGGGGTCTGGGTGGGGTGTGTGAGTGGGGGGGGGGTGTGAGTGGGGGGGGGTGTGAGTAGGGGGTCTGGGTGGGGTGTGAGTGGGGGGGTGTGAGTGGGGGGGGTGTGAGTAGGGGGTCTGGGTGGGGTGTGTGAGTGGGGGGGTGTGAGTAGGGGGTCTGGGTGGGGTGTGAGTGGGGGGTGTGAGGGGGGGGGGGTGGGGGGGTGTGAGGGGGGGGGTGTGGGTGGGGTGTGAGTGGGGGGTCTGGGTGGGGTGTGAGTGGGGGGTCTGGGTGGGGTGTGAGTGGGGGTGTGTGAGTGGGGGGGTGTGAGTAGGGGGTCTGGGTGGGGTGTGAGTGGGGGTGTGTGAGTGGGGGGGTGTGAGTAGGGGGTCTGGGTGGGGTGTGAGTGGGGGTGTGTGAGTGGGGGGGTGTGAGTAGGGGGTCTGGGTGGGGTGTGAGTGGGGGTGTGTGAGTGGGGGGGTGTGAGTAGGGGGTCTGGGTGGGGTGTGAGTGGGGGTGTGTGAGTGGGGGGGGTGAGTGTGGCTGGTTGTGGGTGGGGTGTGAGGGGGGGGTGTGAGTGGGGTGTGAGGGGGGTGAGTGGGGGGAGTGTGAGTGGGGGTGTGTGAGTGGGGGGGTGTGAGTAGGGGGTCTGGGTGGGGTGTGAGTGGGGGTGTGTGAGTGGGGGGGGGTGAGTGTGGCTGGTTGTGGGTGGGGTGTGAGGGGGGGGTGTGAGTGGGGTGTGAGGGGGGTGAGTGGGGGGAGTGTGAGTGGGGGGGTGTGAGTGGGGGGTTTGTGAGTGTGGCTGGTTGTGGGTGGGGTGCGAGGGGGTGTGAGTGTGGGGGGTGAGTGTGCGGGGTGTGGGTGGGGTGTGAGGGGGGGGTGAGTGGGGTGTGAGGGGGGGTGAGTGGGGGGGGTGTGAGGGAGGGTGAGTGGGGGGTGAGTGTGGGGGTGTTAGTGGGGGGTGAGTGGGGGAGGGTTGAGGGGGGGAGAATAAGGGGGTGAGTCGGGGGAGGTGGGCGTGTTTATATAGGGGGTGAGTGGGGAGAGGGTGAGTGGGGGGGTGAGTCGGAGGGGTGAGTGGGGGGGGGGTGATTGGGGGCAGGAAGTGGTGACGAGTGAGTGGCAGCGGGAGTGAGTGGTGGGGGGTTGGGTGAGTCGTGGGAGGTGAGAGCGGGGGGTGTAAGTGGGGGGGGGGGGTGATTTGGGTGAGGGTAATGAGGGGAGTGAGTAGGGTGTGAGCGGATTTAGTTGGGGTGTGAGTGGGGGTGAGTTGACGGGATGAGTGGGGGCGGTGATTGTTATTGGTCAGTGGGGGAGGTGAGTGGTAGGGGTTGAGTATAAGGTGGGGGGACGGGTGAGTGGGGGGTGTGAGTGTAGAGGGGTTAGTGGGGGGGGGGTAGTGGTGAGTGGGGGCAGGGTGAGTGGTGAGTGTGGGGGAGGCGAATGGGGGGGGGGGTGAGTGCGGGGGCTAAGTGGGGTCATGTTAGTTGGGGGGTGAGTGGGTAGAGAGTGATTGGAGAGTGAGTAGGGGGGGTGAGTATGGGGGGGTGAGTGGAGGGGGGGAGGGGTTGGTGAGTGGAGGGGGGGTGAGTGGAGGGGGGGTGAGTGGAGGACGGGTGAGTGGGGGGTGTGAGTGTAGAGGGGTGAGTGGGGGGGGGTAGTGGTGAGTGTGGGGGAGGCGAATGGGGGGGGGGTGAGTGGGGGAGCTAAGTGGGGTCATGTTAGTTGGGGGGTGAGTAGGTAGAGGGTGATTCGAGAGTTAGTAGGGGGGGTGAGTAGGGGGGGGGGTGAGTGGAGGGGGGGAGGGGTTGGTGAGTGGAGGGGGGGTGAGTGGAAGGGAGGGTGAGTGGGGCAGAGTTACTTGGTGGGTGAGTGGGGAGGGATGAGTGGGGGGGGGGAGAGAGTAAGTTGGGGGGTACGTGGAGAGAATGGTGAGTAGGGGGGTGAGTGGCGGGGAGGGGGGCTGGGTTAGTGGAGGCAGGGTGAGTGGTGGTGGGTAAGTGGAGGAGAGGGGGAGCGTGGGGTGGTGAGTTGGAGGGGTCAGTGGGGGTAAGTTGGGGGGATAAGTGGGGTTTGAGTGGGGTTGTGGGTGGGAGTCGTGATTGGGGGGTGCTCGTTGGAAGGTGAGTGGAAGAGGTGTGTGGGGGGGTGGTAACGGTGTGGGAGCAGGGGGAGTGGGGCGGGGGGTATTAGGGGTGAGAGGGAGGGGTGAGAGGGAAGGCCTCGGCAAGGTAAGGTAAAAGTTAAAATGTAATAAAAACAAGCCTACCTTTTACCTTACCTTTTACCTTACCACAATACAATCACTCTACCCTACCTTTGACCCTTTAGCAGGTAAGGTAAAAGGTAAAAAGCAACGAGCCTACCTTTACCCTTACCCCGTACAGATTACCCGATTACAGGGTAATTACTGGGGTACTTCACATGAAAAAGGTTTATAACGATAAATGCTAGGTAGAGCGCTTTATACATATAGAATACTCTCGATTCCAATTTTACACGCTTTCTTTGAACTCACTCTGTCTGTTGTCGTAGTTGTATCCTCAAATCTTGTAACTCAATTTTAACCCACTTCCCAATGTGGTATCGACTGCAAACTTCGTATACTTATGTCATACGAATGACAATACTGTATTCTATCATAAAAAAATAAGAAATATATATTTTTAAACATTATTTTTTACATGTTATGTTTCGGCTTGGATCTAATTGTCAACGGTCAACTGACGTTGGGCTGTAATTGGCCACGGTCCCTTACGTTATGGCAAGCTTCGGGGCCACTTCCTGGAGTCGTGGAGTTTTGCCATTATCAGCACATTTCATAAAAGCGTGTTTTTTAAACGTTTTTTAAAATATTACTTGTTAAATGGAGGCCACGGACTGCGCCACGGAGCTTTTAGCAGTAAACAAGGTACCGTATTTACCGGGTAATACTCCACGCTACCTTTACCCTACCGGGTAATTCTTCCGAGCTACCTTTACCCTACCCTTTACCTTACCCCTTGACATGTCAACACCATTACATTTACCCTTTTACCCGGTAAAAAGGGTAAATTACCTTACCTTGCCGAGGCCTATGTGTGGGGACAGGGTGAGTGGTGGGGAGGTGAGTGGGAGGGGTGACTAGGAGGGGGGGTGAGTTGGGCAGAGTTCGTTCGGGGGTCAGGGGTGAGTTTGGGGTGAGTAGAGGGCTGAGTCGGAGGTGTGGGTGCGGCAGAGTTAATTGAGGGCTGAGTCAATGGGGGTGTAATAGAGGTCGCAAACGGGTTTTGATTCCTTACCCGTACCCGTACCCGGCCGCACCAGGGTCGCAAACGGGTACCCGTACCCTACCCGATACCCGGCTACCCGTACCCGGCCAGGTATCGGGTAGGGTACGGGTACCCGATTGCGACCTCTGGGATGAAGCCATGTTGCAGGCGTGGGTGGGTTGATTCTAGGAACTTGAATTGTGAGAAGAGACAAGACGTTGGGAAATGAGTGACAAACGGTTACTCACCAGTAACTCACGGCCTTCTCACTCATTGAATGAGGTGAGTCACGTGCGGCTACCCGTACCCGGCCGCACCAGGGTCGCAAACGGGTACCCGTACCCGGCCGGGTACTGGTAGCCTGGGTATCGGGTAGGGTACGGGTATCAGGTACCTGATTGCGACCTCTGAGGTGTAAGTGGGGGGGGGGGGGGGGGGGGGTGACTGGGGCGTGAGTGGAGGGGGAGGTGAGTTGGCGGATTTAGTTGGGGGGTAAGTTGGTTGGGTGATTGGTAGGGGTGAGTGGAGGGGGGTGAGTCGGAGGGGTGAGTGGGATAGGTGAGTTGGGTGGGTGTGGGGGGAAGGTGAATTGTGGGGGATGAGTGAGTGGTGAGTGAGGGGGGGGTGAATTGGGGGGTGATTAGGGGCATGGTGAGTGGTGGGGGATGAGTGATGGGGGGGGTAATTGGGGTGGGTGAGTGGGGGGTGATTGGGGGGGGGGCGATGGGGGGCAGGGTGAGTGGTGGGGGTTAATGGTAGGGATTCGTGGGGGGGGGGAGGGGCGAGTAGGGGTGTTAGTGGGAGAGTGAGTGGGGAGAGCCTTTGTGGGGGGGTTCGTGGGGGTTTGAGTGGGAAGGCTGATTGGGAGGGGTGAGTGGGGAAGAGTTAGTTTGGGGGTGAGTGGGGAGAGGTTGAGTGGGGGGTGAGTGGGCGGGTGAAGATTCGTGCTGGATGCAGTCACATTTACTAACGAGATTTGTATTGGAAGTTAAATTGTAACATGCAATTTTATTGAGGGACTGTCTGTTGTCTGAGTGTGATCTGGGACTGTATTTGTTTTGTAGTGGGTAACAAACTGGAGGGAACTTTCACTTAGAGGCCACACCTTTATTATAACAATTTAACAACTCAACGAGCTACAATACGAAGGGATAACACGGCCCCTTCACCCGATATGCTAGCTCGCCTCTGCGGCTATTCCTACGGCTACCCTGCCAGGGCTTGAGTCTTCACTGGTTATAAGCTCGGAGCTTCACTGGTACAGCTCCAGCCTCACCCAAGACAGGGGTTCCGCTTTGCCAATAGGGGTCTTCTCTTCAGGGCTTCAGATCTTCAGTCCTCTTCAGCCGGGCGATACTGACTCGAGCCGTTCAGAGCCCTGACTTATATACAGGGTCCCGGCTCACTCTGCCCCTGACCACGCCTCCCTTCCAGAATTTTCTCGAAGGTCCTGGATAATGAGCTCATCCCCCAGCCCCCTTCCGGGGGCCTGGGGTCCCAACCGTTGTTCCCGATGCTTCCCCCCAGTGATTGCCCAGGGCCAACTGTGCATCATTATTGTTGAGCCGATCCGGCCTCCCTTCCGCTCTCTACTGGCCTGAGCTAGTACTGCCAGCTACGAGTCGTGGCGATCGTGGCCAACCCAGCCACTACAGTTTTACTGGCTTTCCGGAGCTTGGGAATTGATGATACAATTTTAAGTAAAATACGTTATGTATTTACTTAAGGGGCACCACGGTGGTGTGATGATATATTCCTCGCCTGATATGCAGGAGGTCGCGTGTTCGATCTCGATCCGGACCCTGGCGCCTACATATTTGGAGTTTGACACGTAAGCTTTTGCAACCAATATCATCCATAAGTTTCTTTTTGTTAGAACGCGTAGATATATGTGTGGTTAAACCCGCCACAAATTTGTCTGTCGCCTGATGAAGCTAGTTTTAATTACTGGCGAAAAGTTGTACTCAGATTGAAAATGTTGTGGCGTGGCTCTCCAACACACAGGTGTGCTGTACTAGTGACGAATTGGCCACGTTCTGTTTACTTGACAACACATACTAAGGGCACGCAGCACTGCGCTACAAACCCGGCAGAGACCCGAGTTCGATTCCCGGTCACGGCCACCATCAACACCAGTGACGGTGATCTAAACTGGTCATGGGCCTCCCCTAGGTCAAATCAGCCTCAACCGTGTACCCGGAGCGGTGTGTAAACATCACTATCCTAAACCTTCGTGTGCCGTGCCGGCCTTCATAGGTGGTGCTCGCTAACAGCGCTTGCTCCAACATACTCTTATGTTTTTTCGGTAAAGTGACGTAGGTAAAAACAAAAGTAAATAATAAAAATATTATAAATAATTATATAAATAAAATAATAAATCACGACGTTTCGGAGGCAACACAAGTCTCCGTCATCAGGTGGGACCGTCACAGCTATATTTACTGTATAACCTGATGACGGAGACTTGTGTTGCCTCCGAAACGTCGTGATTTATTATTTTATATCTATTATTATTTCTATTATTTTTATCTACGTGCCTTTACCGAAAAAACCTAAGAGTATGAATCCTTGCAGTCACGAAAGCTTCAAATCTTCCCCCAACAGTTCGGTAAAGGCTACACGGGGGCTATCTGTATTTGTTTTGTCCCTCCCCCCTCCAGACTGTCCCCCTCTGATCCGTCCCTTCCGTGCTGTCCCCACACTTCTGAGTGAATAAAAGGCAAAATGTGCCGATCATTTGTAATTCATTTGCATTGCATTTATTTGAACGCTAGCTTATGCCTCTATGGAAAATGTGTTGCTTATGGTGAATTTATTGCGCTTTAATATACCGTGTAGTAATAACATGGGATGATTTGTTGTCGTTATAAAGATGATGAAAAAGAACAGGCTGTACCATTTCCAGAAATAATACAACCGCCATTCGCCACTAAATGGCGGTGGCGTCACCACGAAGCTTGTGTCAGGCCATATGCACCTTGAGGCCACGTGAAGTGTCGAACGCCCGCTTGCAGGTCACGGGGCAGACCCAGGTGCCACGGGTCGACTGACTGAGATGACTCAGATGACTGGCTGATGCACCACCTGTGCCCCCTACTGTGCCAACTTGCTGTGCTTTAGGCACCCGGCGCTCCGCTCGTTGTTGTGAGTGTCGCTCCTCTGCCCTCCGTTGTTGTTGGAGGGCGACTGCCTCCAACTGCCCAGTAGCGTCCTTCACGAGCCTCCTCCACAGAGGCCGATCTTGACACCGCTGGTACCAGTCATCGGCAAGTCCACTTAGCTCCACGTCCTCCTGTACCACATCACTCCATCTCTTCTGTAGCCCGTGCCGCGCCCGTTTAGCCCCCTCGATCCGGCCGAACAAAAAGCTGTTTAGGCATGCGGTGGCTGGGCATGCGGGCTCCATGACCCAGCCAACGCTGCCTTGCCTGCCGGAGGAGCTCACCAATGGGACTTTGCCCAGATCTTTCAAGGATTTGTGAGCTCACACAATCCAGCCTGCTGGTTAAACCCAGGATTGATCGTAGGCAGGCCAGCCTAAACGTTTCTAACCGGCGAAGATGCTCCATTTGGGGGGTCCACGTTTCACAATAATACAGGAGGTGGTAAGACATCCATGCACAAAATAGACACCCATTATTGCAAGGCATCGAGGCTGCATTCACGACACAGGGTGCTTTTTGTAAAACACGCAAATATACTTTGACAATTAATATAATGTATGCATTATCCTTGGTAGTGATTGGCCTACACCAGAGCTACAGACTATTTTATTGCCTTGTCTCACTAGTTTTATACCAGACAATACCAAAAGGCGAACAGTACAATGACAATACAAATAGCAAAGCATTAATAATGGGTGAGTGGGTAAGTGGGTGGGTGAATTAGTGAGTGGATGGGTGGTTGAGTGGGTGAGTGAGTGGAGGTCTGAGTGAGTGGGCGGATGAGTGAGTGGGTTGGTTCTTGAATAATCGTCTGATGATGTGAATGAGTGCTTGAGTGGCTGAGTGAGTGACTGGGCGAGGGAGTAAATGGGTGACTAGTCAAGTTGGTAAGTGGGTCATTGAATGTGCTTGTCTATTAATGTGCATGTGGAGAGCGGTAGCGTAGCAGGGAAAAACCCGGCGACCCGAGTTCGAATCCCGCTCACGACCAACACCAGTGACAATTAACTGAACTCAGCCTCAAATGAGTACCTGGTGTGGTGTTTGGTAAACATCACCACTGGGGAGACAAAGGCAAGCCGGACGTGGTGTTGGCCACCCACCCTCTCGTGTTCCGTGCCTACCTTCACAAGCGTTGCTGCTGCCTGCTAACAGCACTTGCCCCAAACGTGCTTTAATACTATTGAGGGATCTTTGTCTTTGTGTCTTTAGATATATGTGTAAACTATACAAATTCATTTTTTACCAGGTAAGGACATCTGAGTTATATAGCTCTTTTTCAGAAGCGACCTGTCACAAAATGATAGCTGAACGAAGTGGCTTATCATGTGGAAATTTATAAAGGTGTATCAATGTGAATGTGTATCTCTATGTATGTCTATGCATATCTACATGAGTATGTATCTCTCTACCCGTTCACCACTAAGTGGCGGTGCAGGCTAGGTGCGTGTGTGTTTTAACACACACGTGTGTCCGTGTATTGTGAGTGGGTGGGTGAATGGCTAAGTTGGAGCGTGGGTGATTGGATGGGTGCGTGCATAAGTGGGTGAGTGAATGAGTCAGTGAGTGAGTAGATGAGTGAGTTAGTGGGTGGATGGATGAATGAGTGGCTGAATGAGTGGGTGGGTGAGTAAGTAAGTAGGTGAGTAAATGAGTGAGTCTGTTGGTTAATCAGTGAGTGGGTGGTTGAATGAGTGGGTGGATGAGTGAATGAATGAGTGGTGAGTGGGTGAATTAGTGAGTTGGTTGATAGGTGGGTGAGTGGGTGGGTGAGTGGATGAATGATTGAGTGGTTTAGTGCGTGGATGAGTGAGTGGATGGATGAATGAGTGAGTCAGAGAATGAGTGGGTGAATGAATAAGTGGTAGGGTGACTGATTGGTTAATGGGTTGGGGGTGAGTAATTTAATGATTGATTGGGTGGGTGATTGAGTGGGTGAGTGAGTGGGTGGGTAAATTATGGACATTACCACAGCGCATATTACAGGCTAGGTGCGTAGGTCAATTAGTGGATGGCTGAGTGGGAGCGTGGTTGTTTGAGTGAGTGGGTGGTTGAGTGCGTTGGTGGATGAGAGCGTGAGTGGGTGGATGAGAGCGTGAGTGGGTGGATAAGTGATTGGATGGTGAGTGGGTAGGTGATTGAGTGAGTGGGTAGGTGGGTGACTAAATGAGTGGGTGAATGCATTCATGAGTGAGTTGGTGGGTGAGCAAGTGGATTGATGCAAGAATGAGTGGGTGATTGGGTTAGAGAGTGGGTGGATAAATTAGGGACATTACCACAGCGCATATGCCAGGCTAGGTGTGTGGGTGAATGAGTGGATGGGTGAATGAGTGGATGGGTGAGTGGGAGCATGGTTGTTTGAGTGCATGAGTGGGTGGATGAGTGAATGGATGGGTGGGTGAATAGGTGGGTGAATAAGTATGTGGGCGGGTGAATGAGTGTATGGGTGGGTGGGTGAGTGAGTGGATGAATGAGTGGATAGGTGAAATAATTCATGAATGAGTGGGTGATTGAATTAATGAGTGAGTGGGTGGGTGACTGAGTTGATTGATTAATGAATGAGTGGGTGGTTGGGTTAGTGAGTGGGTGGGTAAATTAGGGGCATTACCACAGCGCATATGCCAGGCTAGATGCGTTGTGAAATGAGTGGATGGGTGAATGAGTGGATGGGTGAGTGGGAGCGTGGTTGTTTGAGTGAGTGGTTGGTTGAGTGAGTTGGTGGACAAGTGCATGAGTGGGTGGATGAATGAGTGGATTGGTGGGTAAATGGGTTGGTGGGTGAATGCGTAAGTGGGCGGGCGAATGAGTGTGTGGGTGGGTGCATGAGTAAGTGGGTAAGTGGGTAGGTGAGTGAGTGGGTGCGTGAATAAATGAGTGGGTGGGTGAATGCATTTATGAGTGAGTGCGTGATTTAATTAATGAGTTAGTGGGTGAGTGAGTTGATTGATGAATGAATGAGTGGGTGGGTAAATTACGCACATTACCAGAGCGCATATGCCATGATAGGTGCATTGGTGAATGAATGGATGGGTTAATGGCTGGGTGAATGAGTGGATGAGTGAGTGGGAGTTTGGTTATTTGATTGAGTGGGTGGCTGAGTGAGTTGGTGGATAAGTGCATGATTAGGTGGATGAGTGAGTGGATGGGTGGGTGAATGGGTGAGTGGGTGGGTGAATGGGTGGGTGAATGGGTGAGTGAGTGGGTGGGTGAGTGAGTGGGTGGGTGGGTAGGTTGGCGGGTGAGTGGGTGAGTGAATGAATGAGTGGGTGAATGAATTCATGAGTGATTAAATTAATGAGTTAGTGGGTGGATGAGTTGATTGATGAATGAGTGAGTGGGTAGGTGGATGTATGAGTGGGTGGGTAAATTACGCACATTACCACAGCGCATATGCCAGGCTAGGTGCGTGGGTGAATGAGTTGATGGGTGAATGAATCATTGGATAGGTGAGCGGGAGCGTGGTTGAGTGAGTGGGTGGTTGAGTGAGTGGGTGGTTGAGTGAGTTGGTGGATGAGTGCGTGAGTGGGTAGATGAGTGGATGAACGGGTGGATGGGTGAATGACTAAGTGGGCGGGTGAATGAGTGTGGGTGGGTGAGTGAGTGGCTAGGTGAGTGGGTGGGCGACTTAATTAGTGGGTGGGTGGGTGAATTAATTCATGAGTAAATAGGTTATTTAATTAATGAGTAAGTGGGTGGGTGAGTGAGTGAGTGGGTGGGTTAGTGAGTGAGTGGGTGAATCAGTGAGTGGGTGGGTGAATGAGTGAGTGGGTGGGTGAATTGGTGAGTGAATTAATGAGTGAGTCAGTGTGTGGATGAATGAGTGAGTGAGCATGCAGATGATTGAGTGAATGAGTGGGTGAAAGAGTGAGCGGTTGGGTCAGAATGTGAGTGAGTGGGTGATTGAGTGGGTGAGTGCGTTGTATTCAGTAGGCGTGAGAGAGTGGGAGGTGCGGGGACTCTCAGTCGGCCTGTCCCTTGTTGAGTTGCGTGTACTCGCCCAGCCCCGACTTGAAACGTGGAATTCGGACCAAGCCCAGGCGGTTTGCAACGCTCTGTACCTGCAGATAAACGTTCGGACGCGTGGAATATGAGACACCGGGCGGAGATATGGTGGGGGATGTGAGACACGGGCGGAGGGAAAGGAGACACGCAGGGAGAAATTCATCAGCAGGTTGAGACAAGGCTGCCGTGGGTTTAAATGGCGGCCTAGTTGGACGCCCACCATCCACCGGATTGGAAAAATGCCAGCCATAGCAGCTGCATGAGTCACTGTTTTTAAACTCAGCCATTCCCCTCACAATGTGAGGAGGAGGGGGGGACGATGCCAACCCCATTTGCAAGCTATGATACAATTCCTTCCTGCAACCTTCATCACGTTACACACCTTGGTTGGCAGGAAACGCTGGTGTCTCGTCTTGCCTCTCATAACGTTCGCCTACTTCTGCCTTTCATCTCCTCTCATTTAGCTCTCTGTTTGCTTTCATTTTGTTCTCGTATTCTCAATATTCGTACCCTTCTGTGTGAATGTCTTACATTTTTAGGAACTTTTATTTTTATTTTTGTCCCTGGTCGCTGCCAGCGAGCTGCCTGCGTGCTGCGGTCGGGTTCCGGGCCTCTGGGCTGCCGCCATCTCTATCCGGTCTGCTTCCAGTCTGCAGGCTGCTGCCATCTCTACCTTGGCCTGACCTGGTCCTCGGGCTGCTGTTATTTCCACCTGACCTGATCAAGGTGCGAAGCAACAGGATCTGCTGGCGCTGGCTGGGGGAGTTTTCCTGCTTTGCAGCGAGCTCTGAGATGTCCTGCACTACCCCTGCTGGAGCCCGGATAAGGGCTGTCTGTAACGAGCTCTGACGCGGCGATGTCGCCATGGTGGGACTTCCTCCTCGAGCAAAACACATCGCCGTCACGGGACAGATTCGTCACCGAGCAATCACATTGTCATTGCGGGAGGCTTCCTTGCCAAACAACCGCATCTACATCGCAGGACAACTTTCTTATGGAGTGACCACATCGCCAATGTGGGACGGGGATGTTGTGGCTTGCCAAGCAGCAGTTGACTTTTCATAATGATTGTTTTTTTTTCGCGTTGAGCGTTTCTTAGTTTACGTTTAATAGCTTTACTGTCTGGCCCCTGTCGTACATTGGGTCTCCTTAGGAAATTGCCCTACATCCATCATGGGGCGGGTCGTAACACGATTATCTCTTAACTCATGCACAAGACCTCTTCCGCTGATCCCATTATTCCTAGATCTCTCGTTACTAATGCCACTCCAGTTGATGACTGCTCTTTGTGACCAACCAAACATTCCCTTTAAAGGCACCCGCAAGCAAGTCTACCGAATGAGCACTGCTCAATGTGCGTTTACTTTCCAGTCAGGCGTTGGCAGGGAATTAACTCATTAGCAATAATTTGCAATCATTATTGCACATTGGGATTCTGGGATAGAATGAGCATTATACATTTAAATTATTATTGTTTTGACCTTCTTGTGTGACGAAGACCTGGCATAGGCCTTTTTATTACTGTTAACTTAATAAGGCCACCCCTTCAGGTTTCATGAGAAGCCCCAGTCATTTGACCGGGGGAGGGGGGGGGGGCGGTGGTCTGACACTAATTCACACCAAATCAGCAAACCTTAGTCATCTGTCAATACCAATATTTTGGCCGTTTGAGCACCTGGCATTGGTCTGGAAACCTAGTTTGGCCCAGCCAATGGTAATGTCGTTGTACCGCCCTCCCACGCTGACCCTCACTTTATTTTCTGGATTCTCTGAGTTCCTGTCCAAGGTGTGTACTTGCATTGAGCGCATTCTAATTCTTGATTACTTCAACCCACGTGTTGATGCATCACCTAAACAACCAGGTCAATATGTTTTGGCCATTATAAATAGTTTTGGCTTCACTCAGAATATTAAAAAGCCCACTCACTCTGGTGGACAGACCTTAAAAATGTTGTCTTCCCTTGGGATCCAGGAATTGCTGATCATTCAATGGTTATCTTTAATGTCCCTTTTCCCCTCCTGGTTCATCAACTAGAGACAGAATTTCATTTCGTAACATTACATCCATTACATCAACTTCTCTTATGGAGGCCCTCTCCTGCGCTTCCTTCACTCAGAAATGTTATCTTCCTGTCAAGGCGTCTGCTCAATTATTAAACTCTGTACTGCCACTTATGCTTGGCCGTTTAGTACCTCTCCAAACTCATGGATCTTTTCTAGGAAACATTCTCCATGGTACAATGCTAATGACGATACAAAACGCGATTGTTCTTCATGCTGACGTACATGGATGAAGTCTGGTGTCACCATACATCACCAGCTTTTAAAGAACAGGCCCATGTCTCTTTGGTCAACATTTTAATTGCTAAAGCATCCTATAGTTCCAGTTGCATTGCAGTGAGCAAGGATAATGCACGAACCTTACTTCCGGCCAGTAATCATTTTCTGCATGAGGACAAACATTTAAATTATTATCTGCCCCCCTCCCCCGTTCCCCTTCTATCTGATTTACCCCAACCCCACTATTACACCTGCCAAATTCACCTCTTTGATTGTTGGATCTCGATCAACCTGTTGTTTGTCCACTGGATCATTTTCCTTACAGACTGCTATGGGATAACTTTTCCACATTGGTACCCTGTGTTCTTGGCCTTTTCAACAAGTCTTATGAGACTGATATAGTTCCTGGTACTTTTAAAATGGCGGCAGTCACCCCACTGTTAAAAAAGCCAGGTCTTGACTACAAGCTTACCAAACATTTTTCCCAACTTCCTTCTCTAAGATCCTGGAATGTGCTCTCGCCTCTCGATTCTATCAGGATCTTGCCATGTACAACTTATTCGACCTCTTTCAATCAGATTTCAGGGCTGTACACAGCATTGAGACAGCTCTTGAGAGGGTGATCAACGATTAATGGCTGCAAGCAGTCAGGGGGCAAGCAAGTGTTATTGTCCTGATAGCCCTTAGTGCTCCGTTTGACATCATTGACCATGGGGTCCTTCTTGAATGATTGGAACACTCAGTGGGGATTTCTGGTCTTGCATTACAGTGGTTTCACTCCTATTTGTAGAATCGCGTACATTATTTTACAATTGATGATGACAAATCTCCAATTATATTGGTTCAATGCAATGTTCCACAAGGATCAGTACTTGGCTCCTCTCTATTCAATGCCTATATGGCACCTCCAAGCACACTGCTATGACATCTGGGCTTGCCATATTACTGCTATGCTGATGACACACAAATGCATGCCCGCATAGGCTCCAATTGTGCAAGGGAAATCTCTTCATTGTCTGCATCATTATCTCTGGTGAGATCTTGGCTTCAGACGAGTTTTATCTTATTAAATGCAGACAAAATCAAAGTTCAAATTAATTTGTTCCCACTTAAAGTTATCTAAAATCAGTTTACTATTTTTGTCTATAGATTGTTATGTATATATATATATTATTATAATATATGTATACAGGAGGTCAGAAGTTTTGATGTAGAATTTGATCAGCCATTGCCATGAGGCACATGTATTGAGTAGTCAGAACAAGATGTTTCCACCTCATAAATATTGCCTGGCTTCGTCAATTCCTCTCACCTGATGATTTACAGAGTGTGGTCCATGTATTTGTGTTCTCCCAACGACTATTGCAACGCATTACTGATTTGGATTCCGAAAAAGGTGCTTGGTAGACTTCAGCTCGTTCAGAATGCTATTGCTAGAATGCTTACACGAAGACCATTTCACGAGCACATCACACCCTTTATCTTGTTCCTGCATTGGCTACCAATCAAATATCGAATTGATTATAACGTGCTGCTATTGACCTACAAGGCTGTCAATGGGTTAGCCCATAATTACTAACACCAATGAAGTCCTTGAGATAGTTTTTATCTCCTTCTTAGTATTCCGAGGGCAAGGCTCTATTCTTAGGGTGATCTGGCTTTTGTCAATGCAGCTCCAAGACTATGGAATGCGTTACCTCTGAGAACACTGGTCTCCAATTTTTAAGACGTCGTCTGCATCAGAGATGAAATGTGCTATATTCTATGGTTCTTTCGGTAAAGTCACATGGATAGAAAAATAATAACAGTAAAATAATAAAAATAAAGTGAATAAAAATTAAATAAATCTCACGACGTTTCGATCGCAACACAAGCGGCCATCATCAGGAACAGGGAGGTTAGCCTCTGAGGGCAAGCTGTTTAGAAGGTTTATAGATGGGCGAGACAGCTAATGTTAATGTAGAAGAGGGCCCCGACACCGCCAGTAGGTCTACATGAATCAAAGCATTGCACCTGGCTCCACACACCCACACTGCTGACAGTGGAGGTGGACAAGAAAAAACAAATCAAGTCATGACCCAAAGTGGTTGATGACATCTTTTCAATGATTGCTGAGTTTAAAACCGTCGTCTCGGTTGAAATGGTGTCTGTGTCTGTATATATGGATGGCTTCATGAACGAATCTTTGTTGATAGCCAGTCGGTTGCAAAGTACCAAGGTCTTAAAGAAATCAATTTCATGTAGACCTACTGCCAGTCGCCAGGTTCGTACTGCAGCACGCTCATCAGTACACGACTCACTATGACACACACTTACCCTCACCTGGCGTCGGGAGCTCAGTATCCACAGCACGAGAAGACCCAGGCAGAGAGCGGAGCAACAAACTGCAGCCAACATCCCCACGTTGGGAATCTGCACAAACAAGACAAAGATCCCCCGTCTAGCCTTAACAGATGCTCAGGGCATGTGCGTTTAGCGAGTACCATCAATTATGAAGGGCAGCACGGCACACGGCAGGTTGGGTAGACCACAGAATGCCACTGTAAAGCCATAGACCACCGAGAAATGAATGCCCTTTGCTAAGCCCTGCACGTTTACCTGCTAATATCGGTGGGGCGGGTGCCCTCACAGGAGGCACACAACCCCCAAATACTATCATCACACACGTGCCAAAGCAGCCATACAAATACTGATAAGCACAAAGAATTAACCTTCATCTGGGGGTTCCTTTGTCGGCTATGAAGGCACAAGCACGATATGGAAATGGAATACACACGCCGTTGTTTATCGCTCTCTCTCTGCCACTTGGTTATTGTTAAGACCGCCATTCCCAACACATCGGGCAAAGCCAGTGGGACCGACACTTCTCACTGGAAGTAATTTAAAAGCTAATTCGTAGTGAGGGGGCGGTTGAGGGAGGATGGGAGGAGTGAGATTACGTAATTCGTGCTAGTTATTAAAAAAACCGCAAGACCCCTCCCCAATCAGTGGCAAATCAGGGAGCTAGGGCCCAGAGTGTGCAGAAATCAGGAAGCGGGAGGTATTGGGGTTGGAAAAGGGAGTCTGGTGGAGGGTGTGCTGGAGAGTGGAGGATATCAAGGCATTGGGTTCCGCTGGAACACACACATTCTGAGTTCGAGTGCCACCGTTCCGGGCTCACTAGGTCGAGGTACTCCAGAAAGCTCCTCTAAGCCCAGTCAAACCCGAGGTGAGAGAATAAACGTTCCACAGTTTGTGCTGTCGTTGCCTTTATATCGTTTATGATGCGCTGTGTGTGTGCGTGAGTGAGTGCTGGTGTTAGGCAGGTAGCTAACTCTATGAGAGGTCTCAGCCCAAACGGGAGGCCCTCAGTTTAAATAAACCTTCCCTGCACCGACATACACGTATAGAGATAATCACCTACATAGAGGCACACATATTAAACGACGATTGCAAGGGCACCTCCGAATTCAACAATTTGGGGTGGGTGGGGGGCTGGAAAATGAACCCCTCTGTGAGGTATTGAGGTATGGAATAGTTGTCCAGACGAGATGTCTGATGTGGCGTACGCTGGCGCACTCAGAGGAAGGGGGGTTCGTACCCCCAGGAGGGCTTCACTCGAAGGAAAGGACTCTTCTTCTATAAAGGGGATGAGGAGAGTAAGGAAGAGATGGAGACCTGCCGGGGGGTGGCCCCGTCGAGCCCTTGGCTGGGCCCGGCAGCATGGCAGAGGGCCACGCAATGCACCCCTGGAGGAGTTTCTAGCGGAGACTCGCGATGGTGGTGCACGAAGGCCTGGCAGAGGTGGGGGGCTACCCCAAGCTGGCCCTTGCCATGCCGGCAAGGCCTCATGTTGCGTCGGCTCACAAATTCTTCCACCCCGCTTGCATAGACTTCATATCATGTGACACCACCTTTGTCTCCCCAGTGTCAATGTATACTACACAGGTACTCATTTTAGGCTGAGACGACCGAGGGGAGGCCCAGCACCGGTTCCGATAATCATCCCTGGAGTTTGTGGCCGTGAGCACGAATCAAACCTAGGTTGCCAGGTTTGTAGTCCAGTGAACTAACCATTGCGCCACCACTCCCCCAAATGTACAATAACAACCAGCCACTCATCTCTAAGTGACGGTGACGTTACCACTGTGTCTATGCCATGATAAGGGCACTTTGAGGCCACGTAAAGTGTCGAAGGCCCGCTGGCAGGCTATGGAACAGACCCAGCGACCATGGGTTGACTGACTTTGATGTCTGGCAGATGCACCAAATGTACCCCCAACTATGACATCTCACTGTGTTTTATCTGCCCGGCATTCCGCTCATTGTTATGAGCGTCAATCCTCTGTCCTCCATTGTTGCTGTAGCAGACGGACAGAGAATATAGCATCCGCACAGGGATTCCCCTGTATAAACCCACATTGGGGCTCTGCAAGTCTCTCCTCAGCGTGCCTGCCAAGCCAATGTTGAATAAGCCTTGTCATGACTTTTCCCAGTACACTGTAGTTGTTAAGAGATGGAACCACCAGAGCATCCTTCCAAGCATGTGGAACCTGTCCTGTGGTCCAGACCGTTGTATTGATGTCATGTAGGGCAGTCTGCACACAGATGCCACCCTTCCTCTGAATTTAGCTTGAGAGATAATCTCTGCCCGGCGCTTTCCCTTGTCTCAGACTCTGGATCGCCCCGTGTAATCCTGCACATATGGCACCTCAGCCAGCCACTGAGAAGGGATGGTTACTCCTGCCAATATTTGAGGCACCGCAGCCCGAGCAGGTTTTTCTGGACTGAGGGAATTCCCCTTTTTTAAGACCTCATAGAAATGTGCTGCATCCCTGCAGATCAGTTCCTAGAGGTCCGAGATTGGACCTCCATTCTCTAACGTATGGATGGTGATAGGTGAGGCGCTCCACGTTACTTTTTTAATGGAATGATTTGTGATTAGAGACTACTGAGGCAGATTCCATCTCAATAGCAAAGCACGCCCACTACTCCCCCTGGCAGCACCGCACGGCTCTCCAGACCTCCGAGCGAAGGCTGTGGCAAGTCTCCCCATTTTCCGATGTTGAATGTTGCAGACGATGGGAATCGGACTGTTATTTTTTCTCAACCAGCGGGAAAATCTCATTCAGTCCGTGTCTTTGGGGATGTCTGGACTGCATACCAATGCAGCCATTGCAGCTGTATGATTCGCAGTCCTGAAACTCACCCATTTCCCCTCAGCATCAAGAGGAGGACGATGTAAACCTCAGCAGCTGTAATTGATGTTGAAATTTCTGCTTGCAACTGTCCTCAGCTAGATGAGACCAGGCCACTGTGGGTTGGAATGGGGTACTGGATGGACACCAACCACCGGAGTGGAAGAATGGCAGGTACATCGTAGAGATAACAAGTCGATCGACACTGGGCAGATAAGCTCAGCGGTAAGTCCTGGTGTCAAGGACATGTATCCTGATACACTAGGCCCTCACTATTTAGTCCAGATATTTTTGCTTGGACCCGGTGTGCTTCCACGATGTGGTGTGGATGAGCCGATGCCGAAACACCTTGTCGGTAACTACAAGCACATGGGCTGCACAGAAGCATAGCAGCCTCCTACCATTTTTTTTTACCTGATCTGGCCCATGTCTTCTGGTCATTGTAGCCCAGGTGTCTGCATCATGACCCACTCCGTTGATTAAATTCACCCAACAGGATGACTATGCTGAGGGGCCACTTTGCTAGAACCTGAGACAGGAGGTTAAGGAAGGCATTTGACTCATCGGTCTCGTCTACTTCCCTCCACTGACATTAATTTTCGGTGAAAGCATAAGCAACCACCACCATTTATTGCCTCTTATTGATATGGAGGTGAGCCTAGAGTAGCCTGGGACTTATAGATTCCCATACCACACTGCCATGCTCCCACACCTCCTTTCTTCTTTTGTTCAAAATAAGTGCCACTCTGTTCTTTAGCAGTTTCCTGTCCCGAATAGAGAACTCTCCACCACGCGTGATGACTGGAGCCATAACCGCACTGTCAGACATCCTGTATTCCACAAAGGTCCAGGTGGGACCAGTCCATCTCCCGACAGATGAGTGGTAGCCTCTTCTCCGCAATGATAGTCCCAACATGGCTAATCGCAGTAGTATCCTATACCTAGAGGAACCCCGAGTGGAGGGGTTTAGTCTGTCTCGGCCAGATGCAGCTTGGCCAGAAGGCATCATAAACGCCTGTCCGCCTGCAGCCTCTAGCACGAGCTTATTTTGGTGTTTCTATCGGGGTGCCTTTTAGAATAAGTACCAGATGGAGGGGTTACCAGCCTCTTGCACACACTATTCTAGCTACATACATTCCCCCCACTCACACCACCATGGCCCACACACACACATAGCCTGCTCCACTTACACACAGCCTTTACCACCAAGTATCAACAGCATCCGCGATTCGCCACTGAGAGGCGGTAATGTCACCACGGTCCTTGTGCCAGGCTATGTACACGTTGAGGCCAGGTGCAGTGTTGAATGCCCGCTGGCAGAAGGCCACGGGGCAGACCCAGGTGCCACTGACTGAGATGACTGGCTCATGCACCACCTGTGCTCCCTACTGTGCCAACTTGCTGTACTTTATCCACACGGCACTCCGCTCGTTGTTGTGAGCGTCGCTCATCCACCCTCCGTTGTTGTTGGAGGGCGACTGCCTCCAACTGCCCTGTAGCATCCTTCACGAGCCTCCTTCACAGAGGCCGATCTTGACAGTCATTGCCAAGTCCACTCAGCTCCACATCCTCCTGTACCACATCACTCCATCTCTTCTCTAGGTCGTGCCGCGCTCGTTTAGCCCCCTCTATCTGGCTGAACAAAATTTGTTTAGGCATTCGGTGGCAGGGCATGCGGGCTCCATGACCCAGCCAACGCAGCCTTGCCTGCCACAGGAGCTCACCAATGGTACTTTGTCCACATCTTTCAAGAATTTGTGAGCTCCTCACACAATCCAGCCTGGTTAAACCCAGGATGGATCGTAGACAGGCCAGCCTAAATGTTTTTAACTGGCGACGATGTTCCATTGCGGTGGTCCACGTTTCGCAAGCATAGAGAAGGGAAGGGATAACTGTGGACGAGAAGACCTGAAGCTTCGTGTGGAGCGACAGACCAGGTAGCGTCCACACAGCGTTACGCAAACGATGATAAAATAATGCTGCTTAATTGATTCCGAGTGAGACCTCTGCTGTAATACTGGAGCCAGTCATGAGCACACTGCCCAGGTATGGGAAACTCTCCACTCTCGCCACAACTTACCCATCACCAATTGGGAGTTGTGGGGGTGGAGTTTCCGATGGTACAAAATACCCAGGCACACAGTATATAAGACACAGTATGTGAAATACAAACAATCTGAAAAGTCACGGGCGGCTGAACCTCACTGCCTTCCTCACTGGAGGTTGGGAATACCACTTGACCTGGGAACTGCGATTGACCGCTGGGGAGAAAAAACGGAGACAAGACAGCTCGTGTATTCTTCCGTAGCAGCATTACCACGAGCAGTACAGATAGAATACCTGCCCAGTATTTATTTACGATGCATTACTGTGCAGGAATCTCGTGGTCAACCACGTTGGCTTTGTATGGTGGTGAAAGAAGTTCAACATACGTACACGTACGAGCCAAAGGAGCGCAATCTGTGAACCGTACCTCAATAAGATTCTAGATTTGAAGCTTTCGTGACTGCAAAGATTCATATTCTTATGTTTGTTTCGGTAAAGTCACGTAGGTAAAAAATTAAAATTATTAAAAGTAAAATAAAGTAAAAATCACGACGTTTCGGAGGCAACACAAGCTTCCGTCTTCAGGTGGAACCGTCACAGCCCGACAGCTGTATCAAGTAAATGAGAGATTACAGGAGATACCACTCCGTATATATAATGGTTGAGGGGGGGGGCAGGAATGGCCCACTTTTATTATTATGGTAAGGTGCGGCTTGAAACTATGAATAGACTGCATAACAAAATACTGAGCCTTTATTATGGAGAGGTTCGGTTTGTGACTACGCCTAGCCTACATAACAAAAGTGTGAAAAAAGAAAGCTAAACCTGGTAGAAAGCTAAGCCTGGTAGTTTTGTTTTACCAGGTTTAGCTTTCTACCAGGTTTAAGCTTTCTTTTTTCACACTTTTGTTATGTAGGCTAGGCGTAGTCACAAACCGAACCTCTCCATAATAAAGGCTCAGTCTTTTGTTATGAAGTCTATTCATAGTCTCAAGCCGCACCTTACCATAACAATAAATATGGGCCATTCCTGGCCCTTCCCCCCATCTCAACCATTATATATACGGAGTGGTATCTCCTGTAATCTCTCATTTACTTGAAACAGCTGTCGGGCTGTGACGGTTTCACCTAAAGACGGAAGCTTGTGTTGCCTCCGAAACGTCGTGATTTTTATTTTATTTTACTTTTATTAATTTTAATTTTTTACCTACGTGACTTTACCGAAAAAAACCTAAGAATCTCAATAAGATTGTCACAAACGGCTAAATCCGCGATGGGAAAAACCGCGATGGGTAAGGTTTTGATGAACAAACCTGATTGGAGGTTTCACTGTGAGTGCCACGGAGAGATTGCTTTGGAGGCTCTCCCACGATCTTGGCGAGCTCTCTGTGGAGGGGTTGACACGGCGCACACACACAAGGTAAAACACAACTCGCATTGAACCAATCCACTCACTCATCAACTCACCCACATACCCACTCACCCATTTGCACACCCACTTTATGTTGAGTATATGGGCAGTGTTGAGTTTATATGCAGTATTGAGCCTTTGGGCAGTGTTAGTATATGGGCACTGTTGAGTCTATGATCGGTGTTGTTGAGTCTATGGGCAGTGCTGAGTCTATGGGCAGTGTTGATTCAATAGTGCAGTGTTTCGTCTATGTGCAAAGTTGTTGAGTCTATCAGCAGTCCTGAGGCTATGGACAATTTATAATCTATGGGCAGTGTTGATTCAATAGTGCAGTGTTTCGTCTATGTGCAAAGTTGTTGAGTCTATCAGCAGTCCTGAGGCTATGGACAATTTAGAATCTATGGGCAGTGTTCAGTCTATGAGAAGTGTTGTTGAGTCTATGGACAGTGTGGAGTCTGAGTCTATGGGCAATGAAGAGTCGATGGGCAGTGCTGCTCAATGTGCAGGGGATCGAGCCCACAGTGCGTACTTGACGTCAGCGTTCACGACTGTAGAATCTTGCACGGACACATAAGACGACGATGATGATGGTCGTGGTGGTGAAGACTGTGATGATGTTGACGATAGGGCAGAAGAGGTGCCCAGTTCTTCTTGTGCTACCTCCACCTCGTCAATGACCATGTCTATGAGCTCCTCTACAAAGTTCGGATCCGATGGGTTGAGGAGCGACTGTTCGGTGACTCTCACTGCGGCGTGATTGAGTCCATATTCAGCTAGGGAAAGAGGGGGGAGGGCAGAGTGATCATTGATTTTAAATCTTCTATCAACAAATTCAGACACGTCCTGCCGTAGCCTTTAACATCAGGGATTTTGGCGTGCAAGTGCTGGTGATGTCAGAATCAAAAACGAGCATTTCGACTGGAGGAGGAATCCGATGAGCTGTGAAGCCTTTTTTTCACAGATATCCAGTCGGGGATGGTTCAGAAAGTTACAACAACAACAAAAATCATAGGAGTAAACAAAGAGAAAAGGTAACCACGTCAGGAAAAAATAAATATATTTATAAAATCATCTATAACGTATATATATAGTAACATATTGATGTGCGAATGTTTGATGTGTGAAGTTTCTTGGGAACGAATTTTGGATGTATTACCATTTTTGAATGGTAAAATTTGTAAAAGAAAATAATACCAAAATACACTGAAATTAATCAATAATTTATAACCGATCTACATTACTATTTTATATAAGAATTAAATTAGAATAAGATACGGTTTCTTGAGCGTTGCGGATCGCGATGGTCAGAGTGTTTACAGTCGTCTAGGCCAATCAGCGCACAGCAATGCACTATGTTGCCAAGGTACTTGGTGGGCAATACTACCTTAAGACTACGCTGGTAAGTGTGAATATATTTTACAGTGCACTGTTTATTTGATTTGTATCATTTTTTCATTGTAATGGTGTGCTGTATGAAATTAAATATCATTTTAAATATAAATTGCATTTGTTTACAATGTGAATGGTAAGTTATTAAGTTTTTATGAAATTAAATAGTATGTTACAAATGCTGGGAATGCATCATCAGAATACTAATGTTATAACTTATTAAATAATAGTTCATAAAGCTTGTCTTTGCTAGGCAAAGTTTTCAATAAATATAACCTAATATGATGTTTGACAAATTTTTGTACGTACGATCAGACACTAACAACTACTAAAAAACTTGTATTTTTCCGCAAAAAAAATAGAATTGACGACTTGATTCAATTTCTTATTTATCGCGTAGGCTTTCGCGACCAATATCATCCATATGAGGTTTTTTTGGGTTAGATCGCGTAAATATATAAACGTCGTACTCAGATTATAAATGTTGTGACTTGGCTCTCCAACACACCGGTGTGCTGTACTAGTGACGAATTTGCACGTTCTGTTCACGTGACAACACTTACTAGTTGGCTGTGTCGGGTGGTGGTGGGTTTTAACGACACATTCATATATTTACACGATCTAATCCAATTTTTTTGTATTGATCAACTTCTCATATTTAAAGCCGTACCCATTGGAAACCGCTCGATTTAAATATTCCGTTACTTTTTGAAATGAGAAATAACACAAATTAATGAACTTAATATCTTGAGAGGAAGCTTCTGTCTTTTACCGTTTTCGAAGTATTACGATTTGAACATCAAACATGCGTATTGTTCGTTCGAAACTGCTTGAATCTGAAATATCTCAAAAGAATAAAAGATAAAACAATGGTTCTCGCTTTAATATTGTTTGCTGTTTAACGCTCTATCAACCGAAAAAAAACCCCGCAATATTATAGTTTTCACAGGTTTCCGAATGACACAGACAAACATGTTTATAGGGCACTTAAAATCGAGATTTGGGTGCCTTGAAAAAAAAATCTAGGATTTTCAGATTGTTTGTATTGTTTTTGTCCTAAAAACTACCTATGCACCAATTTTTCTAAGACGAAGGTACTCTGCAAACCGACTGGCTATCAGCAAAGATTCGTTCATGAAGCCATCCAGATATATAAAACACAGACACAATTTCGACCAAGAAAATGGATACAAACTGAGAAATCATTGGAAGGACGTTATTAACCAGCTTAGGTCATAACTGGCTGTGTTGTTCCCTTCCTACCTACCTATGTGAGCAGTTATTTTTGACTCTCTGAGTTACATTCACTAACACAGCCACCGTTAGCTGTGTTAGTAAATGGCGGCTTGCCATCCTTTTCCATCTCCATGTAGAGATGGCTTTTTCCGAGCTCTCTCCGAGCTTACATTTACAAGCAAATTTCTTACATTAACATGCTAATCTCTCACAATACAATGGCCACCCCTACAGCTTCGTTTGTCAAGATTTACCCGATCTTACATTTACATGAAAATTTCATCTCTAGCACTGCCCACTGACCATTGGGCTACACCCATCTCAAAACTTTATAACACCGTGCCTTAGCAGCGCTCCCGACATATATTCTTTCCTGCCTCAGCAGCTCTCCCGCTATATTTTTCACCTGATGACGATTGCTTGTGTTGTGATCGAAACGTAGTGATATTATTATTTTTTATTCATTTTATTATTTTTCTATCTACGTGGTTTTACCAAAAGACCCAAAGAATATGTACCAAATGTCAGCTTTCTACCTTGTCAATAAGCACACTCGAGGTTTTTTGAGACATAGATTAAGGTTTTATTTATATAGAAGATACGTAATTTCAATATATGAACAAAGCTCCAGGAACGAATATCGAGGTGTTACTGTATATATTAGTATGTACAAGTACAGCAAACCATTGCCTTTCACGGTATTAGCAAACACAAAAAATACAAAAACTAAGATCCCCCGCATAGCCTTAACAAATTATTGGGGAAAGTGCGGCTTGTGAGTAGCATCTATGAAGGCACACGAGGGGGTGGGTGGCCATCACCACGCCCAGCCGCCTTTGTCTCACCAGTGGCAATATATCCATCGCACTAGGTGACTGCGTGGGTGATTGGGTGAGTGAGTGGGTGACTGGTTGACTGGGTGGGGGAGTGGGTGAATGAGAGAGTTAGTGAATGGGTGGGTGAGTTAGGGAGTGAGTGGGTGGGGGACTGGGTGGGTGAGTGACTGGATGAGTGACTGTGTGAATGAGGAGGTGAGTAAGTGAATGGGTGAGTGAGTGATTGAGCAAGTGGGTGAGTGGGTGAGTGACCAGTTGAGCGAGTAGGTGAGTGGGTGGGTGAGTGGGTGAGTGACTGGGTAAGTTGATGTGTGAGTGGGTGGATGAGTGGGTGTTTGAGTGGGTGAGAGACTGGGTGAGTGAGTGGATGGGTGAGGGAGTGACTGGGTGGGTGAGTGAGTGACAAAATGAGTGACTGTGTGAGTGGGTGAGTGGCTGACTGTGTGTGTGAATGGGTGACTGGGTGGGTGATTGGGTGACTGGGTGACTAGGTGACTGGGTGAGTAAGTTGGTGACTGGATGAGTGAGTATGTGAGCGAGTGGTTGAGTGAGTGTGTGAGTGAGTGCGTTGGTGAGTGAGTAAGTGTGTGAGTGAGTGAGTGGTTGAGTGAGTGGGTGAGTGGGTGAGTGAGTGGGTGACTGGAAGAGTAACTGGGTGAGCAGGTGAGTGAGTGGTTGATTGAGTGGGTGAGTGAGTGGTTGATTGAGTAGGTAAGTGAGTGGTTGATTAAGTGGGTGAGTGGGTGACTGGTTGAGTAACTTGGTGAGGGAGTGAGTGGGTGAGTGAGTGAGTTAGTTAGTGAGTGGGTTGGTGGGTGAGTGAGTGACAGATGATTGACTGTGTGAGTGGGTGGCTGGTGAATGGGTGGGTGAGTGCGTGAGTGGCTGTGTGAGTGCGTGAGTGGCTGTGTGAGTGCGTGATTGAGTGGGTGAGTTGATGAGGGGGCGATTGAGTGCGTAAGTGAGTGGGTGACTGGGCGAGTGAGTTGGTAAGTGGGTCGGTTAGTTAGTTGGTGGGTGAGTTCGTGAGTGGGTGAGTGAGTGGGTGAGTGAGTGAGAGAGTGGGTGAGAGAGTCGGTGGGTGAGTGGGTGACACTATGAGTGACTGTGTGAGTGAGTGGATGAGTGGGTGGGTGAGTGAGCGGGTGAGAGAGTGGGTGAGTTAGTCGGTGAATGAGTAGGTGTGTGTGGGTGTGTGGCTCAGGCCATCAGATCCTTACCGGGCCAGCCCTCCTGTGCTATGAAGTTGTAGGCCAGGTGCAGAGAGACGCAGAGAGGCCTTGCCTGCCCAAAGGCGCAGAACTTGGAGCAGATGGCTCTGTGCGTGAGCACCGCCCTCAGAGGAACGAACCAAGCTTCGCCCTGCGGGATGACGCCCATCGAGTCCAGCCGCTCCAGAGCCGAACAGACCTCGAATGGGGTGGGGGTAGTGAGCAGACAGGGTTGAGTGAGTGAGTGGTTGAGTGGGTGGGTGAGTGAGTGGGTGAGTGAGTGGGTGAGTGAGTGGGTGAGTGAGTGGGTGAGTGAGTGGGTGAGTGAGTGGGTGAGTGAGTGGGTGAGTGAGTGGGTGATTGACTGGGTGAGTGACTGGGTGAGTGAGTGGGTGAGTGAGTGAGTGAGTGGGTGAGTGAGTGGGTGAGTGAGTGGGTGAGTGAGTGGGTGAGTGAGTGGGTGAGTGAGTGGGTGAGTGAGTGGGTGAGTGAGTGGGTGAGTGAGTGGGTGAGTGAGTGGGTGAGTGAGTGGGTGAGTGAGTGGGTGGGTTTGTGGATGAGTGGATGGGTTTGTGGGTGAGTGGATGAGAGGGTGAGTGGGTGGGTGAGTGGAGTTGTGGGTAAGTGGGTGGATGCGTGAGTGAGTGAGTTGATTAGTTGGTGAGCAAGTGGGTGGGTGAGTGTGTGGGTAAGGTGAGCGGTAGTGTCGCAGTTATCACGCTGTTACCAACCCGGCAAACTGAGTTCAATTCCTGGTCACGGCCAACACCAGTGATGATTATGTGAACCACTCCTGGGCCTCCCCTATGTCGACTGAGCCTTAAATAAGTACCTGGTGCAGTGTGTAAGCATCGCCACTGGAGAGACAAAGGCGGCCGGGCATGGTGCTGGCAACCACCCTCTCGTGTGCCAGATCAATATTCATATGTGCTCACTAACACCACTATTAGTCTGTTACGGCTATACGGGGATTCTTTTTTTTATTGGGTAAGTGGGTTAGCAGGTGGGTGTATCGGTGGATGGGTTGCTGAGTGAGTGGGTGGTTGAGTGATTGGGTGGATGAGTGATTGTGTGAGTTACGAGGTGAGTTGATGATTCAGTGGGTAAGTGAATGTGTGTGGGTGAATGAGTTGGTGAGTGAATGAGTTGGTGAGTGAATGAGTGAGTGGGTGAATGTCTGAGTAAGTATGTAATTGGGTGAGTATGTGAGTAAGTGATTGAGTGGGTGAGTCACATAATTAGTTGATGAGTGAGTGACGAAGTGATTTTGTCAATGAGTGATTTGGTGACTGTGTGGGTGAATAGATAAATACGTATTTGGGTGAGCGACTGGGTAATTCAGTGGGTGGGTAAGCCAGTGAGTGGGTGAGTTAATTAGTTCGTGAGTGAGTAATTTAGTGGGGGTGTGGGTTGGTGTACGATTGGGTGGATTGTTAGATGAGTGAGTGGTTGGGTGAGTGTGTTAATAGGTGAGTAGGTGGCAATAGTTTACAGTAGTGTTTGATACATTTTGCGGTCTTTGGTGTAACTTGGTGTGTGTGTGGTATAGAGTGTAGTGGTTTGGTTCGGTCTATAGTACAGTCAATATATGTGAGAGTGCAGTGAGAGGGTAAATACAGTAAGGCAGACCTGAGTGCGTTGCGGTGAGTGATGGGTGTGTTTAGGCGAAGGTGATGCTGAATTGAGTGTGAGTAGGACGTGCATATGTCTGTATGTACGTGTGTACCAAGATCAGTGTGTACCAGGAGTCGGTAACCTCCCCCCCCCCCCCCATTTTAGAACTAATTCATACCAGTAGCCATGATGGAAACACCCACTTAAACTTGTGCTGGAGTCCCCAGGGAGGAAAGGCATGACGCCGTCTTCCAAACCACACCTGACGGAGCCAGACTCTACCACTCCCTTCGCGGGTTAGAAAAGGCTGAGGTCGGCCAGGCGGAATATCTGTACACTCACTACAAAGGAGAGGCTTCCTTTCATCTGTCGAGAGCTGGACTAGTACCGCTTGGAATTATGTGATATACAGGAGGTTTGGTGGAATGGATTTGGCTCCAGTCACCACGAGGGGTGGACAATTCTTCACTCAGGGCAAGAAATTGCCAAACAACAAGAAGTGCCACTTTTGAAAAAAGAATGAAGGGGCGTAGGAGCATAGAGGCGAGGTGTAAGAATCCTTGAGTCACAGGCTTTTGTGGGAGAGCATCCCCATCAATAAGAGGGGAGCGATGGTTGTGATATTGGCTTACGCCCCCACTGAAGATGAACATCAGTGGAGGTTGCAGAAATGGCTGATGAGTCAGATGTCTTCTATGACCTCCTGTCCGATGTGCTGGCTAAAGTGGCCACTCGGGATAGAGTCGTCCTCTTAGCTGACTTGAATGCCCGAGTGGGTCATGACGTAGACATCTGGTCTGGAGTGATTTAAAAGTATGGCCCAGATCAGCTCAGTAACAATAGTAGGAGGCTGCTAGACTTCTGTGCATCCCATGGCTTGAAATCGCCAACAAGCTGTTCTGGCATTGGTGCATTCATATAACATAATTATTGCACGCCGGGTTCAAGCAAGAACATTTGCTGGACTACGTTGTTACGGAACAGTGATTAGGGGTCCAAGTCCTCTATCAGGACCTACAGTGGAGCTGATCTTTCGAGTGACCATCTGCTTGTCATCTGTAAGATGTGCATACCATACTTTGACTGTGGTGGCAATCATCCATCAAGGACCCCACTCAAACCCCCAATAGCCTGGCCTCGTCTAGCTGATGAAAGCTGCAGATGTGAATTTCATCATCACTTGCAACTCCTCCCCTCCTCCTGATTTGAAAAGAATGAGTTTCAAAACAGCGACCCACAAAAATAGTTCACAGGTTTTCTGACAATTGTTGTGATGTTTTGGGGGAAGGAAACCCGCCCAGCTTAAACAACATCAACGTGCAATGTGGGGTTGGCCCTGCTGGTGCTGCTGCGCCTCAAATATTGGAGCAAATCGACATTCTTTATGAGTGGTTTGCTAATGTGCCATCTGTTGAGAAAGTGTGAAGGGCGATCCAAAGCTTTAAACCAGGTAAAATTCTGGGGAGAGATGATCCTTCAAGGGAACTGCTGAGGGAGGGTTGTGTGTGTGTTCAGACTGCCCTCTATAACATCATTCCAACTGTTTGGTCCACAAGACAGGATCCGCAAGACAGGAAGGATGCCCTGGTGGTCCCTATTTTTTTTTTAAAGGGGACAGCACTGATTGCAACAATTACCAGGGCATCTCCATCCTCAGTATGCCGGAAACAGTCTGGCAATAATTATCCAATATCGCCTTGCCAGATATGACGAGGAGACGCTTGCGGAGCCCCAGTGTGATTTCACATTGGGGCAGTCGTACATGGGTGCCATTTTCTCTGTCGGAATGCTTAAACAGAAGTGTAGACAATGTTAACTGGACCTACATCTCTGCTTTATTGACCTGGACAAGGCCTATGATATCATTAAAAGACCAGGGCTTTAGGTTATTCTTTGTGTTTTTGGAGTGCCAAGCCTTCTGCTCACAATCATGAAGGACCTTCGTGAAGGACCTTCATGATTGTGGTAGACCCCGGTAAAGTTATTTGTACTCCGCAGTGACGTGAACACTGAAGGGTGGATGTAAGCAGTGCACGTGTGGTTTTCACGGAACGAAACGCTGCTTCATCCAAAAATAAAAACAGCCGTTTCACTGGTTGGCACTCGGACTGAAAACACCATGGGACCTCCCTTTCCAGTAAGTTTTTGTGGGAGGATCAAATGTGGAGGGTCGCAGATACCCGGATTCAGTGTTCTTCTCATCTCAATAGTCGTCGCACCACACTCGACTGTAACACGTCGTTTGATGACCACATGCAAAATATAGTTAGGTCCTGCAATTTTCACATCGGAACTCGACTACACATTCGACCTCTGTTGAGTCGTGACGTCGCCAACACCGTGGCGGTGTAGAATAGGATCGACAAGGCCGAATTATTGCAGCATACTACCTTTTGGGATGTTTGACAAAAAAACATTACCCAGCCGCAGCGTATACACAATTATTTGGCATCGGTCATGACGGGGACTACAAGATCTGGGCACGTCTATACAGTGCTCCCTGACCTGCGTTGGCTTCGAGTTGCCGAATGATTGCATAATCAGGTGCCAGTCATTACACATAAAGTGCTCACCACAAATGAACCACAATAGCTGCCAAATATCGTCAAGGAGCATACATCATCACGCGACCTCCGATCATCCTCTCAGCGGCTTTTGGCTCGCCGTCAAACAAAATACGGTCACTGCATCTCGGATGTTCGGATGCGCTTCTGCGGCCGTCTTGAACGCTCTTCCTTACAAAATTAGGAAGCCACTGGAGCTGTCACATTTTTAAATCATCTAGATTACAAACTAATTTCTTCAGAATTGCTTTTTGTGTTTAGATTGTTATCCTTTCCACACACCTCTGATTAGCTTGATTGTTTAGACATGGTGTGCAAGAAGTTCAATATTAATGCCTGCAGTGATTGGGTGAGTGAGTTGGGTGAGTGAGTCGGTGGGAGGGTGGGTGAGTGAGTGGATGGCTGATTGGGTGAATTAATTAGTTTAGTGGGTGAGTGAGTGGGTGTGTCGGGAGCGATAGTGTCGTGGTTAGCGTGTTGTACTACGAATCCAGTGACCCTGATTCAATTCCTGTTCAGGGACACCATCGATTATCTGAACCGGTCCTAGGCCTCACCTAGGTCGACTCGGCCTCAAATGAGTACCAGGCGCAGTGTGTAAACATTGCTACTTGGAAGACAAAGGCGGTTGGGCGAGTTGCTGGCCACCCACATCCTTGTGTGCTGTGCAAGCCTTCATAGGTGCTGGCTAATAGCACTTGCCTCAACAGTCAGTTAAGGCTATATGGTAGATCTTTGTCTTGTGTTTGTGAGTGGATGAGTGGGTTTGTGAGTGGGTGCTTCACATACGGAGAGGTATTTTTGAAAATCCACTTTACCGCAAAGTTTGAATTGCCAACCCACCACAGCCTAAGCTGGGACACCGCTCCCTCCCAATCAATGAATGGCATTTTAAGAAACAAACATCGTTCTTTTAAAGAGCATATATATAATGTTGTTTGTCCCTTAATTGTGATTTTGAAATATGGTATTGTGTTCATTTGCATGTTAGATTAGTAACACAATTAGTCTGTGCTATTCTCCGTTTGCATGGGTGAAAAATGAGTGAAGTTTTTTCTTAATCCTGGCTCGGCTGGTGCAACAAACGGAATGAACACCACTCTCTCCCAGAGATCCACAAACTCATACATAAACCCATAGACTCATCACACAGAGACTCATAGACTCACCACTCAGAGACCCACAGACTCACACAGTGAACCACAGACTCCCACACACAGATCCACAGACTCACACACAGAGACCCACAGACTCATCACACAGAGACCCATAGACTCATCACACAGAGACCCATAGACTCACACACAGAGAGTCAGACTCACACACAGAGACCCATAGACTCACATACAGAGAACCACAAACCCACACACAGAGACCCATAGACTCATACACAGAGAGTCATAGACTCACATACAGAGAACCACAAACCCACACACAGAGACCCATAGACTCATACACAGAGACCCACAGACTCACACACAGAGACCCATAGACTCACACACAGAGACCCACAGACTCACACACAGAGACCCACATACTCACACACAGAGACCCACAGACTCACACACAGAGACCCACAGACTCACACACAGAGACCCACAGACTCACACACAGAGACCCACAGACTCACACACAGAGACCCACAGACTCACACACAGAGACCCACAGACTCACACACAGAGACCCACAGACTCACACACAGAGACCCACAGACTCACACACAGAGACCCACAGACTCACACACAGAGACCCACAGACTCACACACAGAGACCCACAGACTCACACACAGAGACCCACAGACTCACACACAGAGACCCACAGACTCACACACAGAGAGCCATAGCCACCTGCGTGGTGTTTTCCTGGCCCACCAGGTCCTCAATGTGTAGCAACGTGTCCAGAAGATCCGAGTTGGCGCTTTGCGGGTGGCAGAGTGCGCGTGTTATGTTAAAGAGAGCACGGCACAGCGACATGACCTGATTTCCTGGGATGTAGACACGTGAGCAGACGTCAAACCTATAGACACAGACAAAAACAAAGATGTCCCCGTGTAGCCTTAAAACACTTTTAGGGCAAGTGCAGTCAGTGAGTAGCAGCTATGAAGGCCTGCACGGTACACGAGAGGCTGGGTAGCCAGCAGTACGCCTGACGGACATTGCCTCCCCAGTAGCGATGTTTTCACGTCGCACAAACTACTCATTTGATGCTGAGTCGACCTAGGGGAGGGTCAAGACCGGTTCAGATAACCGTCACTGATCTTGGTGGTCGTGAGCGGAATTGAACTCCGATTGCCGGGTTTGCAGCACAGCGCACTGACCGTTGTATGTCTGATCCCCCCTCTGTCACTCACACATACACAGAGGAAAGTCACACAATAACATTGTAAACGTTCACGCACGTCATACACTCGCGCACAATACGAAAGAGAAGCGTTTTCTGAAACTCTTTTAAAACTCAGTTCCCAGGATAGTCTAATTTGTAAGAATACTCAGTTCGTGTCATCCAGAGATCAGAATCTTTATTTTCAAAATGTTTATTTAGACTGGATGAATCCGATGAGCTGTGAAGCTTTATTTCGCAGACATCCAGAAGAGGCAATTCAGTAAGTTACATCTCTATAAGCCTGTACATCTACGGGTTTCCATGGGTCTCTGGGAGTCGCTATGTATTTCTACGAGTCTCTATGAGCCTGTGTTTAGATATATACATCTACGGGTATCTATGTATCTCTATGGGTCTCTATGCATCTCTGTGGGTCTCTATGACTATCTATATATTTCAATGTATACCTACGTGTCTCTTTCCGTTTCCAGATTTCTAAGGAATCCGGTGAGATATGAAGCTCTTTTCACAAGTGTAGTAAGTTCGAGGAGACGATGTCGAAGTTGAGGCACACTCTGTTTATTAACTCCGGGACAGGTACAATAGTTGAAGGGGTATCGGCCCCTTCACCCGTACTATGGGAAACCCACCCTAGTCCTAAGCCCTCTGTCCTGTCCCCCAGTCTTCCTCTACTGGGCTACGGGAGGCTGACTGATCTGGCCCTGGCAAGCACAGATCTCGGCACCAGCTAACCAGCCTTGCCCTGATAAGGGCAGCGGTCTGGAAGCTCTTGGGCCGCGCCACTGGCTTACCCGGCTCGGCCCTTATAAGGACGGCGAGACCGGGGAGTCCCAGGGCCTAATCTCCGAGTCTTGGATCTTCACTGGTCAGCTTCGTGTCGAACTGAACTCGAGCTCTTTGGGTCTCCACCTTTTATAGGGATCGCCTCCGAGGGCTGGGGGCGTGGGCAATAACTGATGCGGACGTCGGTGTGACCACCCGTGTATGTGAGTGCCGACAGCCCTGTGTTTGTTGTCCGCCGTTTCTCCCGTAATAACCCCTACATCACCCCCCCCAGTACAGCTCGCAGCCGTCCCGGCTGCAACAATCCCTCAACCCCCAAGAATAAAGATTAACACCGTCAATACACGTGTGCCTCGTAACAGTAACAATAACAAGAACAAGCGTAACATCAACCGATGGTTCCTTATATAAAAAAACCCCCCACCCAAAAACGCAACACATATACAGAACGGTATAACAGCACATGCAGTCAGCATATCGCGATCACACGCGTACATTTAAGCACAATAGCAAGCAGATCTGCAGGCGACCAACACACCATTAATCCTGTCGTAACTTTGCAGCAACAACACAATTATTCTCTCTCATGCAACGACCGCATCGCACACAGCACCTCGCTGCACAATACACCACAAAAAAAAAAATTTTCAATTAAGCCCATCGCGCACGGTAACCCACGAGATGGTACAGCACAGGATACCCGACGCTCCCACGTTAATAATTAACTTCACCATCAAGATAACAACTCCACGCAGCAGCGCACACACACCCTTTGACACTCAGCAACCACAGCAGACTCTCCGTCCATTCCCAACACACGCACACACTTATTTTGACAGCAAGCAACAAGCAGATAGCGCGTTCATCGTTATTACACACACATACAACCATCAAAAAACATATATACAATGAGCGGGTTCCGCAGCAACGGAACACGCGCGGAAAGCTAATCATAACAACCGGCGCGTTTTGGCGCGAGTCCGTGCAGCGGGCCCGTCACAAGGGGCCGGCTTGGTAGAGTCGGTGGCAGGTGTCGCATCAGCAGGTGCCTGGTCGTCCGGTTTCCCGGACGTGCCAGCGCCGACCCCCACGGGGGAGGCTGGCAGCCAAGAGGGCTTCAGTCCTGGGGCTCCTGAAGACGGGACAGTCATTAGCGGATCAGAGGCTGGCGGCGACCCCGCCCTCCCGGAGTCAGAGGACTCCCCACATGTTCGGCCATTTACGTGGGAGGAAGCGTGCGGAGCAAAAAATGGCTTTAACCGTGAAGGGTGCACAAACCACCGACGCTTCCCCCACTTAATGCGCACACATTGAGGCCGCACAACCTGCACAATTTCTACGGGGCCCCTCCATGGTCGCAACAACTTAGCCGAGGTGGCCAATGGCACCTGGGGGCAGTGCAACCATGCTCGGTCGCCCGGGTGCCATTCGTGCGTGTGAGTCCGGCGCGATCGCAATCTCTCGTTTTGTTTCTGGCGAGAGTCAGAGTTTTGCATGGCCGCCTGCCGTGCCTCCGCCAAGCGAAGGATGTTAAATTTAACATGGTCGGCGATTTTCGACTTAGCATGAGGCGCGGCAATCGTCAGCTGAGTCGCGACAGGCGGGTCAACCTCGCGACCATACATCAAAAAAAATGGCGAGAAACCGGTCGCCGCGTGAGGAGCCATCCTGTATGCCGCCAGGACTCCCCCGATCCGTAGATCCCAATCGTTTTGGGACTCAGATACCTGGTGGGATAGCATGGACGTAAGAGTCCTATGCAAGCGTTCCACCATCCCATCCGTTTGTGGATGGTAAGGCGAGGCACGAATTTTCTTTGTACCCAGAAGGCCACATACCTCGTGTAAAAGGGTACTAGTGAAATTCTTTCCCTGATCGGTCAACAACCGTTCCGGAGCGCCCTTGTCGAGGACGTAGCCCTGAACAAAAGCCTCCGCAACGGCCGCTGCGGACTGGTTGGCGAGGGGCCAAGCCATAGGCCATCGCGTGAAATATTCCACGCCAACCAGCAGGTACTTATTACCCCTCGGCGTGGAAGGAAACGGTCCCAAAATATCAAGGGCGACCAGCTCATTAACCCGGGTGACCGAAATGGACTGGAGCGGTGGACTGGCTCCCTTCGCCGGCGGCTTCCGTTGTGCACACTGGGTACAGGATCGCAGCAGATCGTCCACGTCTCTTGCCATGCCCGGCCAAAAGTAATTAAGCTGGAGCATGGCAAGTGTTTTGAGGGTACCCAGGTGCAGGAGCCGTTCATGAGCAGCCCATACAGCCCTACCCCTCAACGTGGAAGGCACCACCAGCCTGTGACGGCGGATCGTCCCGTCCCAATGCATGAGTAGGCCCTGGCACCACCCCCATGAGTCAACGCCCGACTTCCCTTGACCTGATCCTTCCGCGCGACGCCGTAGCGCCAGGAGGGTCGCATCCTCCATTTGGAGGCGACCCCACTCAGCACTCGACAAGCCTAGTAGGGAATCACTCCCACCCCCCGAAATAGGACCAGCATCCGAAGGAGTATCAACTGCGGCCGCAAGAACCCGATCCTGGCCGTCACTTGCCGATTTGCAACGGCCCGAACCCAAGAAACAAGTGCAATCCGGGGCGATCGGCAGGCGTGATAGGGCATCGGCATTGGTGTGGCGAATCCCCTTCCGGTAAGTTGTCTCAAAATCAAAATCCTGCATGATCTCGAGCCATCGGGACAACTGCCCCGATGGCTGGTTAATTCGTAGGGCATACTGCAACGCCGCATGATCTGTACGAACGGTGAAATGCCGGCCGTACAGATATGGCCGGTACTGTTGAATAAAGAACACGATAGCCAACAGTTCGCGACGGGTGACGCAGTACCTCTGCTCGGCCGGGGACAGTACTCTACTACCATAAGCCACAACGCGCTCCACGCCACCCACAATTTGTGACAGCACGCCTCCAATCCCGGTATTGCTTGCGTCTGTGTCGAGCACGAAGAGCATGGAAAAATCGGGGTAGCTTAACGGCGGGGCCCCCACCAGGGCATCCCGAAGAGAGACAAAAGCGGCGTCCTCCACCGGCCCCCAATGAAATTTGACCCCTTTTGACGTCAAGGCATGTAGTGGCTTAGCGATGGAAGCAAAGTCCGCGACAAACCGGCGGTAATATGAAGCAAAGCCGATGAAGCTTCTAACCTCCCCCACCGAGGTGGGAGTAGGCCAGGAGCTGACACAACGCGTTTTGGCGGGATCGGTTGAGATGCCTGACCGGCCAACGATGTGACCCAAATATTTAACAGATTCGCGCAGCAAATGGCACTTTTGTGGCTTGAATTTCAAATTAGCAGCGCGCATCTTGAGAAAGACGGCCCGAAGCCTATCAAGATGTTCCTCGAACGTCTTACTGAATACGATAACGTCATCCAGGTAAATCAAACACACCTCCCATTGCAAGCCAGCGAGGACCAATTCCATCAGGCGCTGGAACGTCGCGGGAGCAGAATGTAATCCCATGGGTAAGCGATTGAATTGGAAGAGGCCGTGCGGCGTTCGGAAAGCTGTTTTGGGCTTAGATTCGTCGTCCAAGGGAAGTTGCCAAAATCCTGAGAGCAAATCCAAAGTGGAAAAGAATCGCGATCCCGCGAGGGCATCCAGCGATTCGTCCATTCGAGGAAGCGGATAAGCATCGGCCACCGAGATCTTATTTAATCGCCGGAAATCAACGCAGAACCTTAGGGACCCGTCGTGCTTTTTAACCAACACTATGGGTGCACCCCAAGGGCTGGTTGAGGGAGAAATGATGTCCGATTTCAACATGTCATCTACAGCCGATTTGACATGATCCTTTTCGGCGGGACTTAACCGAAAAGGATTTTGGCGGATAGGAGCGTTGTCACCGGTGTCAATGTGGTGGCG